GAAGAATATAGCAAGCAGCATATCGAATAATAGTACCACTATCAGACAATCATTACAGCTCTTGTGCCATTAAGCAATATTTTATTAATTTTTCATTTCAAAATCGAATACAATTTTATTTGTCACATGCTTTGTGAAATGCGTACTTACGGGCCCTTCCCAACAATGAAGACAGAGAAAATAGAGAAATAATAGAAAAGTAATAACACGTAATAATAAAAGTAATAATAAATACACAATGAGTAACGATAACCTGGCTATACACGGGGTATAGGTACCGAGTCGATGTGCAGGAGTACGAAGTAATTGAGGTAGATATGTACATATAACTAGGAATAAAGTGACTAGGATAGATAATAAACAGTAGCAACAGCGTATGTGATGAGTCAAAAAAGTTAGTGCAAAAAGGGTCAATGCAGATAGTCCGGGTAGCTATTTGGTTAACTATTTAACTAACTATTTAGCAGTCTTATGGCTTGGGGATAGAAACTGTTCAGGGTCCTCTTGGTTCCAGATTTGGTGCATCGGTACCGCTTGACGTGCGGTAGCAGAGAGAACAGTCTATGACTATGCTTCTACATCTGCATTGCTTGCTGTTTGGGGTTTTAGGCTGGGTTTCTGTATAGCACTTTGTGACATCTGCTGATGTAAAAAGGGTTTTATAAATAAAATGTGATTGATTGATTTATGACTTGGGTGGCTGGAGTCTGACCATTTTTAGGCCCTTCCTCTGACCACGCCTTGCATAGAGGTCCTGGATGGCAGGGAGTTCGGTCCCAGTGACGTACTGGGCCGTACGCACTATCCTTTGTAGCGCCTTGTGGTCAAATGCCAAGCAGTTGCCATACCAAGCCAGTCAAGATGCTCTCAATGGTGCAGCTGTATAAATTTTTGAGTATCTGAGGTCCCATGCCAAATCTTTTCAGCCTGAGGGGGAAGAGGCGTTGTCATGCCCTCTTCACGATTGTGTTGGTGTGTGGACCATGATAGATCCTTAGTGATGTGGACACCGAGGAACTTTAAGCTCTCGACCCACTCCACTACAGCCCCAAAAACAGGTATTCTATATGATGACTCGATTGAGAAATGAAACTCCATTGAGAAAAGCACAAACTGTATGGGGGAAGTGGAGGCTCCTCAGAGGAGGAAGGGGAGGACCATCCTCCTCAGTGAATTTCATACAAATTAAAATTGTAAAACATTTTTTTAAAGTTATCCTTTTTAGATAAAACCATACTAAATATATTCACATCACCAAATAATTTATTAAATCACACTGTTTTGCAATGAAGGTCTACAGTAGCCTCAACAGCACTCTGTAGTGTAGCACCATGGTGTAGCCAGAGGACAGCTAGCTTCCATTCTCCTCTGAGTACATCGACTTCAATACAACACCTAGGAGGCTCATGGTTCTCACCCCCTTCCATAGACTTACACAGTAATTATGACAACTTCCAGAGGATGTCCTCCAAACTATCAGAGCTCTTGCAGCATGAACTGACATGTTGTCCATTCAATCAAAGGATCAGAGAATTAATCTAGGACTGAAAGCATAAGCTACAGCTAGCTAACACTGCAGTGCATAAACTGCTGTGAGTAGTTAACTTAAAGAGAGAAAGACAATAGTTGAACAGTTTTTAACAAATTAATTTCCTCCAAAATGAAGGAGAAACAAGAGAGATTTCATAATTTTTTTTCACTTTCAGTTTCACTTACTTAGCTAGAAAATGCAGCTAGCTAGTTTAGCCTACTCAAACACCCTGCTCAAACAGAGGGATGCTTTGTTAGCTAGCTGGCTATGACTATCCAACACAACACTGGAACTCTTCCAAGTCAAGGTAAGCTTTTGGTTTTACAAATGTATTGCCACCGGGGCCCACCGGTGTAATTGCTAAACTGCTAACTGACTATACAGTGAGGGAAAAAAGTATTTGATCCCCTGCTGATTTTGTACGTTTGCCCAATGACAAAGACATGATCAGTCTATAATTTTAATGGTAGGTTTATTTGAACAGTGAGAGACAGAATAACAACAACAAAATCCAGAATAACGCATGTCAAAAATGTTATAAATTGATTTGCATTTTAATGAGGGAAATAAGTATTTGACCCCCTCTCAATCAGAAAGATTTCTGGCTCCCAGGTGTCTTTTATACAGGTAACGAGCTGAGATTAGGAGCACACTCTTAAAGGGAGTGCTCCTAATCTCAGCTTGTTACCTGTATAAAAGATACCTGTCCACAGAAGCAATCAATCAATCAGATTCCAAACACTCCACCATGGCCAAGACCAAAGAGCTCTCCAAGGATGTCAGGGACAAGATTGTAGACCTACACAAGGCTGGAATGGGCTACAAGACCATCGCCAAGCAGCTTGGTGAGAAGGTGACAACAGTTGGTGTGATTATTCGCAAATGGAAGAAACACAAAAGAACTGTCAATCTCCCTCGGCCTGGGGCTCCATGCAAGATCTCACCTTGTGGAGTTGCAATGATCATGAGAACGGTGAGGAATCAGCCCAGAACTACACAGGAGGATCTTGTCAATGATCTCAAGGCAGCTGGGACCATAGTCACCAAGAAAACAATTGGTAACACTATGCCGTGAAGGACTGAAATCCTGCAGCGCCCGCAAGGTCCCCCTGTTCAAGAAAGCACATATATAGGGCCGTCTGAAGTTTGCCAATGAACATCTGAATGATTCAGAGGAGAACTGGGTGAAAGTGTTGTGGTCAGATGAGACCAAAATCGAGCTCTTTGCCATCAAATCAACTCGCCGTGTTTGGAGGAGGAGGAATGCTGCCTATGACCCCAAGAACACCATCCCCACCATCAAACATGGAGGTGGAAACATTATGCTTTGGGGGTGTTTTTTTGCTAAGGGGACAGGACAACTTCACCACATCAAAGGGACAATGGACGGGGCCATGTACCGTCAAATCTTGGGTGAGAACCTCCTTCCCTCAGCCAGGGTATTGAAAATGGGTCGTGGATGGGTATTCCAGCATGACAATGACCCAGAACACACGGCCAAGGCAACAAAGGAGTGGCTCAAGAAGAAGCACATTAAGGTCCTGGAGTAGCCTAGCCAGTCTCCAGACCTTAATCCCATAGGAAATCTGTGGAGGGAGCTGAAGGTTGGAGTTGCCAAACGTCAGCCTCGAAACCTTAATGACTTGGAGAAGATCTGCAAAGAGGAGTGGGACAAAATCCCTCCTGAGATGTGTGCAAACCTGGTGGCCAACTACAAGAAACGTCTGACCTCTGTGATTGCCAACAAGGGTTTTGCCACCAAGTACTAAGTCATGTTTTGCAGAGGGGTCAAATACTTATTTTCCCTCATTAAAATGCAAATCTATTTATAACATTTTTGACATGCATTTTTCTGGATTTTTTTATTGTTATTCTGTCTCTCACTGTTCAAATAAACCTACCATTAAAATTATAGACTGATCATGTCTTTGTCAGTGGGCAAACGTACACTCACTGTATACATATTAAAGTTACTGCATGATTGTATTGGGTTTACAAACTTGTTACTAGTAGTTATATTAGCTATGTTGACTATGACGTTACTTTAACTAATATGGTGACAACTATGTAGGCTGTGTGTAGCAGTGATGATATGGTTTGGCTAGGAAAGGTTTCTTCACCTGGTCACATACAGCTGATGTGTTGTGCATTGAAGTCCACAAATGAAGGGAAAAGGTGAGAGGAGAGCACATAGATGCGAGAAGGAATACAACGTGGCTGCTATGAACGTGAACTGTGTTTAAGAGTGACCAGGGGTGTTTTCATTCCACCAATTCTGTTGAAAAACAATTCCTAAACAGAAGCAAACAGAACAAAACAGGGATAAACATACCTGAATTTGTCTAATAGAAACTATATTTTTCAACTGTTGGACTAATGATTACACCCTATTTCAGCTAGATGCAGGCAAGAGTGTGCAAGGCGGTCCATGTGTCACTGTCTGTCACCTAATTTTCTCTCGACCTGTGTGCACCTACATTGTAATCTTTCATTCATAGGCTAGGTTGTAGCAACCTCATGATGGGTATAGGGAACATTTGAGTAACATGTAGTAGCCTAAACCTATCGATGTTACATTGAACTGGTTGAATGGAATATGAATGACAGTCATCCAATATGCTGTAATAGAAATAAGGCCATGCTCATTAAAAAAATTAATCGTCCTCCCTCGTCTTAAACGGCACTGACGGGCAGATCCTATAGACGAGAACATTACAATAACAATCTGAATATTACACTAGTGTTCACTGTCAATTGTGTATCTCAGATTTCAAGTCAAGAATGTGAACCATGCATTGATGTCATATTAAGAGAGCATTTGTCAAAAACAATGTGACGAGCACAATCAAATCAAATCCCAACTCAATCCATGAATACGTTCCTGGGATACAATGAAACAGCAGCAACACAAAGTCTTGATGAAAGTTAACATTCAGTTTATTGTGTGTGGGGAAACTTAACTTTTTGCTGATAAGTAGTGTGTTGCTGATGCTTATTTTAGTCCCTCCCTCACCACTTGGTAGCAGGGTAGAGGTGTGGTTACAGCAGTACAGTAGCTTGTGTTTAACATTCGTACCAACAGAGGGTACTGTGCTATAACACAGCCACACATGCAGTAGTAGAAAGCATTTCAATTCAGATTTGAAATACAGTATATATCAAATATCCTGAGAACGTAACTTGGTTGAGTTGAGATGTCAATAAAGTACAATTTAGTTGATGCTGATAATCTCAAACTCTGTATCATAGGTCATTTTGTGAGACTGGTGGTTTTATTTATGAAGATTGTTGTAATGACTAAACACAGACAAGTTAAAAGGCTTTTATTTTCTAAACGAAGAAAAATATAAAAAACTGTACATATCTATTTAGAACTCATATCGGGGTATATAAAAAAAAAAAGGCAACAAGACAAATGAGGTTCACGTTGACAATGATCTTTAGGAAGGAATGAATAAGTGCAAAGTGCTCATCCACTGGTGGCTATTTCAAATTGATAGTGCTGGGGGAAATTGTGGATGACTTTCAGGGCTTCATTGTACAGCTCCAGGTCTGGAAAGGACATAAAAAAGAACAAAATTATATTAGCTAAACCATTATAGATAGATCTGTAAAAAAAAAATGAAGTGACGTCAAACCAGCTAAACAGTCTTTGGCACGTTTAAAAGAACACTCTAGAGACACCATCATCAACAACAATAATTCAAATATTCCAAGACTACCACTACAGTTTCTCCCAAATCTGTGCTCTCCCTTGAGGTACACTGCCCACGTTGGGAAGAAAGCATATTTGGTTGATTTTGTTGCACTCTGCTGTGTATAATGATGTCATTTTGAGTGTACCTTTGAGAACACATTCCCTTTTCCATAGGAGAGATGATGTACTTACCGAAAGGCATGCCTTTGTCTTCTCTGAGCATGTTGTATGCAGAGGCCATTATTGCCCCTTTGTTGGACACCACACCAACTACCTCCACCACCCCACTCAGCTCCTCATCAAGCTGGGAAAGAGAAACAATGTTACATCAGGCAATGCGCTAATGGACATACAGTGCATTGGGAAAGTACTCAGACTCATTGACTTTTTCCACATTTTGTTACATTACAGCCTTATTCTAAAATGGATTAAATAAATAAAAATCCTCAGCAATCTACACACAATACCCCATAATGACAAAGTGAAAACAGGTTTTTAGAAATGTTTGCAAATGTATTAAAATAAAACAGAAAAACCTTATTTACATAAGTATTCAGACCCTTTGTTATGAGACTCGAAATTGAGCTCAGGTGCATCCTGTTTTCATTGATTATCCTTGAGACGTTTCTACAACTTCATTGGAGTCCACCTGTGGTAAATTCAAAAGGTTGGACATGATTTGGAAAGGCATACACCTGTCTATATAAGGTCCCACAGTTGACAGTGCATGTCAGAGCAAAAACCAAGCCATGAGGTCGACGGAATTGTCCGTAGACCTTCGAGACAGGATTGTGTCGAGGCACAGATCTGGGAAGGGTACCAAAAAATGTCTGCAGCATTGAAGATCCCCAAGAACACAGTGGCCTCTAGCATTCTTAAATGGAAGAAGTTTGTAACCACCAATACTTTGTATTTATTTTATCCCAGCCACAGTCTCCGCAGGAGGCCTTTTGGTAGGCCGTCATTGTAAATAACTATTTGTTCTTAACTGACTTGCCTAGTTAAATCAAAAAAAATTAAAATAAAAAAACTCGGGGGAGAAGGGCCTTGGTCAGGGAGGTGACCAAGAACCCGATGGTCACTCTGACAAAGCTCCTGAGTTCCTCTGTGGAGATGGGAGAACCTTCCAGAAGGACAACAATCTCTGCAGCACTCTACCAATCAGGCCTTCATGGGAGAGTGGCCAGACGGAAGCCAATCCTCAGTAAAAGGCACGACAGCCCGCTTGGAGTTTGCCAAAAGGCACCTAAAGACTCTCAGACCATGAAAAACAAGATTCTCTGGTCTGATGAAACCAAGATTGAACTCATTGGCCTGAATGCCAAGCGTCATGTCTGGAGGAAACCTGGCACCATCCCTACGGTGAAGCATGGTGGTGCCAGCACCATGCTGTGGGGATGTTTTTCAGTGGCAGGGACTGGGAGACTAATCAGGATCGAGGCAAAGATGAATGGAGCAAAGTACAGAGATCCTTCATGAAAGTTTGCTCAGGACCTCAGACTGTAGCGAAGGTTCACCTTCCAACAGGACAACAACTCTAAGCACACAGCCAAGACAACGCAGGAGTGGCTTCGGGACAAGTCTCTGAATGTCCTTGAGTGGTCCAGCCAGAGCCCGGACTGGAACCCGATCAAATGTCTGGAGAGACCTGAAAATAGCTGTGCAGCAACGCTCCCCATCATACATGACAGAGCTTGAGAGGATCTGCAGAGAGGAATGGGAGAAACTCCCCAAATACAGGTGTAACCAAGCTTGTAGCATCATACCCAAGAAGACTTGATGCTGTAATCGCTGCCAAAGGTGCTTCAACAAAGTACTGACTAAAGGGTCTGAATATTTATGTAAATGTGATATTTCCGTTAAAAAAAATAAAAAAATAAGCAAACATTTCTAAAACCTGTTTTTGCTTTGTCATTATGGGGTATTGCATGTAGATTGATGAGGGGGGAAAACAATTTACTCCATTTTAGAATAAGGCTAACATAACAAAGGGGTCTGAATACTTTCCGAAGGCACTGTATGCCTTTGAAACTCAAGTACAACGTTCACTTTCAGTTTAGTGATATCATGTTGTCATTGTCAGATCTTTTCATTCCTAGAAGATAGCTACTGTTCAACCAGTCTACTGTTAGTTACGTCTTGCAACTTTACTCACGGGCTCGTTGAGTTCCACTGATGCAGACTTCCCTTCTCCGTCCGAAAGAGTGAATGATTTTCCTGTTGGATGGACCTGTTAGACGACAAACAATGAATTGCGATTTTGTCACGCTAACTAGCTACTTATCAAAGTAGCGAATTTCATTGCCATTTCTGGCTGTGTACCACCACTGCCATCCAATTTCTAGTGCTGAACTAACGTCGTTAGGCCCAATAAAAACACTAGCACATTACCTTCTCAACACGTCCAACGAAGCAAATCGGCATACTGATATATTGAGACAGCATAGAATAGTTTATTCTGGGTTTTGGTGACTCAAAAACTGCCATATTGAAAGATTTTGCCGTGGGCAACTTCAATTGCACCTACGATTGTGTCAGCCAAGCAAGCGATAGCGCGCGAAATATTTTGTTACGACGAGGTTTCTTCTTCTTCTTCAGTGGGGTTTATCAGCGGTTGGCATCCAACGTTATGGTGCATTACCGCCACCTAATGTACTGTGGGCCAGAGACAAGGAGAAACTAAATCCTACCTGCCAGCCCCGTTGCTCTTAAAAAAGATAAAATATTTGAGACTATTTCTAATGACGTTCTACTCAATATACTCTTTTAACTAATTTCCTGTATCCCCTTCTCCCTCATACTAGATCTCATCCTCTCTCTTTCCTTCTAAGACTACTCACACTAACTGCAATACATGCTCCACGGTCTCTGTTTCCTGACAATAATCACACTTTCCTGTTGGATGCTTTCCTATCACATGTAATGTCTTATTCAACTGGCTGTGTCCCACCCTTAATCTTGTAAAAATAGCCTCCTCTCTTCTGTCCCTTCCTGCCGTCCTCCCCTCCCCGACTTTCCTCTGTACTTGAAACAAATGCCTTCCCATATTATCTATATTCCACTGCTCCTGCCATCTCTGCACCATCACTGTATATATCCGTTTTTTGGCTCTGCCTTGCTCATTGAAACATCAACATCCCCACTACTAAGTGCTTATTTAGCCAGTACGACGACGTTTCCTCATTGTTCTATGATACATTCTTTCCCCGGACACAAGCTTATGTTAACTATGGTTGAAATGCTACATGAACGGATAATTTCATATAAATTAAACTTCAATCTTTTAAAGTGGAGCATAATAACCAAACACTAGATTCAAAGCGACAGATTGCGGAACAATCATTATAGAACTGATCAGAATTAGATGGTTCTCGATATTGTTTCTACACGGACCATTTACAGAACAGGAATTACCGGAAACACATAAGACAACAGCAACAACACACTTGGCTAACTACACGAAATCGAAGTAAAATTGAATAGATAATCTAACAATAACACAATTGTATGTTAGTTTACTCGACTTTTTAACGAAACGAAAGACTGGTAGGGTAAGTAATTTTCTTTTGTTTGACGAAAACCTAGCTAACTAGAAGCTAGTAGGTCGTACGTGATATTTGATACTTTGGAAGCTACAAGATATCAAAGTGAAAGTCACTTTGTAACCAACTTGTATTCTGTTCTGATATTGCGATCTGTGATCAACTTTCAGGCATACTCCTAGGTTCTACATACAAAAAGGTAACAACAACATTATTTTTTTATGCATTTTCTCATTCCATGTGTCGTGATGATGTTGCCATATGCTTGCTAACATTTGTTTTTCTCGCCCTTGCAGATCTAGTAAGGAGTCAGTATGTTCAGTTTTTTCGGAAATCGTAATAAAGACTCTAACAAGAAGTCATCGTCAGAGGGAGGTACAGATGGGTTCGTGATAATAGGTGAGAAACAAATAATGAAACGTCAACCTGCTGACTTTTTTAAGAGTCAGAAATGTGTAGCTGCTAGAAACTTTGAGGTTTCAGGTCATCCTATTGCTCAGTAGGCTCTGCTCAGTTCCGAAACTACCACATTTACCCAACATCTAACAAGTTGGGCAGAACACACACATACATAAGGTAATTCTGTGATTGTTATTTAATCCATGAAATGTGTGGATTCCATAATGCTCTACTGGTTGTACCAATCTTGTTTCATAATTAAATGTCTCTAAATGGCCCCTGAGTGGCTGGGCCTCTCCTGGTCGCCTACTGATATCACCCAGAACAATGCTGTGGGGGTTGTGTGTCAGAGTTGCACACAATGACGTGTCCAGTGCTACTGTATTCTAAAATTGTATTTTAAATGTTTCAATGCACTTTTAGTCAATAACATCGGTCTATATTTTTTGTTTATCTTGTTATTTTTTACATTTCTACTAACAATTTTATATCAACAAGACTAAATCCTGAACCTCTACTTTGTAACACTAGTAAATACTATAAGCTTAAAAAACTGTTTCATTCCACATGTAGTTTTAAGTTCGTCACCAGCATTGAATAATGTCTTTCACCACTTCTTTGAGGCTGAGATGAACCTGAAATGAAAATAGGGAGTTGCGCATCATAGTTTCCTCATGCTCATGGGCGTAGTAATACGTCATAACAAGAAATTAGCATATGTTTATCATTTGCTCAAAACGATAATATAGGATTGCTACACGCTTTACTCAGAAATGAAGATAAATCCTGCCAATTTGAAAGGTCCAAGGCCACATAACCTCCTTTAGTACCTTTCAAAATCTAAGCCCCAAATAATGAAAATGTTATTGTTAGTCAGGAAGCTCCCTCATCCATCTTTCCTCTACCAGTAAAGTGCAGTATAATTGGCTCTTTATCCCGTGGCTTTGATTGGGAGCGCTGCTGGTGGACCTGGGTTCAAATACTACTCCAAATAATTTCAAATACTTTAGCTGGGCTTGATTGCTCTTGCCCGGCTCAATGGAACCAATAAAGTAGTCGCAAAAGTGCAAACGCCGCCCATCGGGCGCTCCAGACAGGCTAAAGCTAACGGCTAAAGTATTTAAAGTGATTTCAAATGGTATTTGAACCCAGGTCTGGCTTTTGGTGAAGCAGTAGACACAGATGGTCAGGAGTTGTATGTTTCTTTTGGCAGACAGAAGAGCGCCAGTCTCAGAGCCAGCGTTTCTTCCCAGATAAAGGAGAAAGAGTCTGACTGAGCTCACAGACGTTTTAGTGTAAACCCAATGACTGTGCTCTGATCAAAGACGCCAATGATTAGAGAGACTGTGTGTTTCCTAAGGAAGGAAGGGCTCAGTCAGATGGCTGATGAAACTATGGAGTTTAAAAGGTGAAGCACCAAAACGGAATTAATAGATTTACTCTAGGTGTAATCAATGTTGATAGGAGTTGTTACAGAGCGCAAATCCAACAATGTAGGACTAGGCTTCAGTCAGAGTTGGGGTAGTGGCTTTCAATTCAAGTACAGTTAGGCTAGTTTGTCTAGTTGCATTGAATGAACATTCAAATATCATTTTCTGTGAGGATTTAAAAATATATAATTTTAAATAGTTTTTACTGTATAAACTGACATAAAATATTAGCTGTAAAGGGTAGCCATTACATTTGCCATCTGCACCACAGCCTCTTTCCACATTACGAGCTTTCCTGGTACTGATGGCTCCAGACCAAAGGGAGCAGATGTTCTTACAAAGCTGATCTGGCTGTCTGGGTCCGTATGGCAGGGGGCATATCATGTGCCACTCCACTACCCTTTCACTTCCCCAGCCAGCGGCCTGCCGGTTGGGTAGGTTAAGGCCGGGGCTGGGCTGTGGGAGAGAGCCAGCGGAAAATCCCAGTGGGCAGGGAACTGGGTGGCTGTCAGCCTGATCGTCTGTGGACCTTCTCGCATCCATCCACATTTAGTTATTCAGGCTGAGAGAAGTCCTCCTGGGGAAAGAGCGATAGGGAGAGAGAGCAAGGAGAGAAGGCTTTAAAGGGGCAGTGCAGTAAAAAAAAATATTTTCCTTAAATAAAATGGATATTTCAACACTATTATGTCGAAATAACACTCTGAAATTGTGAAAATGACGATAATGCCTTTTTTGTGAAAGAGCTATTTTTTTTAAACACCTGGACTTTCAGCCTGTTCAGGTGAGATGGAAGTTTTTGGCCCACAGTATGATATCACAATCTGATCTGATTATTCTGACCAATGACCAGTCATTTTTTTATTTGCATTTGTATCCTCCCACATTGAAGGGGTAAGCGGGGTAGACTCTTGACATTCCTGTCCGCCAATCAGGGCTGTGTATATAACAATTTGTGTCAACACACCGACACAATCAGACTGAGCATTTCAATGGCAAAAGGATAAATAAATTATAAAAAATATATTTGGAGTTATTTTCATTAAATAAACACACACACAGTATAATTGTATTAGACACACAGTGACGATTTAAAAATAACATTATAAAGACTGCATGGTTGCTTTAAGGGAAAACAATCTGCATAGTCTACCCCTGATGCTAGATGGAGGGATGGTTCACATTTGTCAGGGGGTCATGGAGTCAAATCTCATTCTACCTCAGAAGATTAGCTAATTAGCTATTACAATAACGTTTTTTGACAGGGTTTGTAGCATACATCAGGCGAATCTCTCTCCCCAGTCTAAGCTGTTCATTTGCAACACCTAATATTTTCTCCTCCATTCTGTTAGATGGAATCCAATGAGAAAGGATTTGTTTTATGATCTCAGAAGTCATCTCTGTGATCCAAGTCTAGGGCCTTCAGTCCCTCAAAGGCAGGGTGTGTGTGTGTGCACCCCTGCCTGCAGCTGACACTCTTGAGGAGTGGGCCTGGTTGACTGCTGAAGTCATGAGCAGCTGCCTGTGCCTCTTCTGGGAGCCCATATCCCTCTCTCACAGGCTCTTAACCCAGCCGACAGACAATAGCCTCACTTGTATTTGGATGGCTGTCAGTGTCTACAGTCTCACGACAGTTCCAAGGAGTCTCTTTCACTGACATCGTGTTCAAAGGCCTACACCCCCACACCACATTCATTTTAACCTTTGTTTTCAGCTGTTGCTTTTCCCTGTCTAAAGTCTTTATTTATTTAGCCAGGATAGTAGTCCACACAGTAACAATTGCCACTGTTTTCCAGGGAGTCCTAAAGTCATTGCAGGTAATGCAAGGATGGGTGTGCATGTGTGCATCATGCATGTGAGTTCATAAGTGTTTATAGTAATTGATCACTGGTCGCTTAACAGAAGATTGTGACTTAACCCCTCCAGAAAATAAATGTGAGGCTACTAACAGTGTCCAGCATTAGTAGAGCTAGTTTGTTGTAGCCTATCTGTGCTGGCAAAGCTGTTTAAGAGAAGCCTGCTAGCCTGACAAGCTGCATGTCATTGACAATGTCCACGCTCTGAGCAGGTCACACAACTCCAGCACGAATCATGACATAACGTGATGTCATTGACAAGGTCCACACTGCACAGAGCAGGTCGATGCAGAATGTAATGTGCACCTTTTCATTCCTCTTCGCTTGATCAGCTCATGATCCAAGCCAGAACCTTAGGCCTCTCTCCTGACCTGACACTGTTTAGACAAGACTAAAATATATATATATATATATACGTGTTTGCCAGTCCAGTTTCCACTGGCAGTTATCCAAACACACAAAGAGGAAGTATTTTCATGATGTTGAATGTGAAAACATGCAGCTTACAATAATGTGAAGTCAAGTACAACTGACCTAACCTGTCCTCTGTATCATAAAGCAGAGATTGTGTGTGTGTATATTTTCTTGCTTTAGCCTGGTTATCCCTCTCTCCTTCTGAAGGATTTCGTGAATGGGAGCGATAAACTCCTGCATGCTATTAAGCAGATGACGGATGCATACTCTGTGTGTTACTGACTGAGAGAGAGCGGGAAGGAGGGGCCTGTGTCTAACTGACTGAGCCCAGAGACAAGGCCATGCCTGTACAATGCTGACGACACATAAAGAGGAGAATACAGGCTTACTTTACATGGCATTATTTAGATGCCCTTGTTGTCCTAGAGGACTTAAATATTGCACTGCTTGCTGTGGAATAATGTGTGTTCTGTAGGTGAGCAATGCCTACCATGCCAAGAATTCATTCATAAATGTGGATGGAAATGTGGCCTAAATCTTGTGATGAAATTGTGGGAAGGGCTATTTTTGTACCTGTAGGACTAAGGGGGGCAAATCAAAGCTTTAAATTCAAGGCATAGAAGGAATTTATATTGCATACTTCTATGCCTCAAACATTGATGGAAATATGAATATGATAATAGTAAAGTAAGACAATAGACAAAATATTTTTATTTAAACAACATATTTTTAAGCTGCAATATGTATAACTTTTTGGGTGACCTGACAAAATTCACATTCACAATGTAAGTTCTAGATCTGTCATTCTCATTGAAAGCAAGTCTAAGAAACTGTAGATATGTTCTATGTGCAGTATTTCTATTGTTACATTTGGTTTTGTACACCAGCTTCAAACCGCTAAAAGAAAATACAATATTTTTGGATATCGAAAATGTATTTCACAGTGGTTTAGATGGTACAATTATTCTCTACACTATACTTGCTTGTTTTGTCACATAAACTGAAATTAAGCGAACCATTATCATTTTAGCTACCAGGAAATGACGGAGCGATATCTGCATAGTGCATATTTTTAAATAAAAATAATCTGAATTTGAGGTTACTGAAGCTGAGAGACATTGTACTACTAGCTGATAGATCCCATATTGATCCTGTGCAGAGTAACGTAACCTCTGTTTTATCATGGTGCTCTGGGCCTCAGTTCCCTCTCATAGAGATCATTTAACCCTCTATAGAGAGATACATTGGGTGACTGGAGACACACTGAGCTCAGATCAAAGGAATCTGGTGAGATCAGGGAGGATGACTTCATGCTGCAGAGAGAGTTCAGTCCCAGAGGAGAGGGGGAGTGAGGAGTGGAGACGAAAGAGAGGGAGAGAAAACAGGGAGGAGAGAGAGAGAGCGAGGGAGAAGAGGACATTGACAATGTGCAGTTAATTAGTCTAGTTACTAAGGCTCAGTAGTTCTCCCCCAGATGACATGGTGCAAGAGGAATGGGTTTGGGAACATAAGCTAGGCTACACCAGAGAGAGGAATGGGGTTGGGAACATACTGTAGGCCATGCTACACCAGAGAGAGGAATGGGGTTGGGAACATACTGTAGGCTAGGCTACACCAGAGAGAGGAATGGGGTTGGGAACATACTATAGGCCATGCTAAACCAGAGAGAGGAATGGGGTTGGGAACATACTGTAGGCTAGGCTACACCAGAGAGAGGAATGGGGTTGGGAACATACTGTAGGCCATGCTACACCAGAGAGAGGAATGGGGTTGGGAACATACTGTAGGCCATGCTACACCAGAGAGAGGAATGGGGTTGGGAACATAACTGTAGGCTAGGCTACACCAGAGAGAGGAATGGGGTTGGGAACATAGGCTAGGCTACACCAGAGAGCTGCAGGCATGCTCTGGTCCACATAGTGCTCTGTGGAACAGTATTACTGTGTTACTAACTTTGTTAATGCTGTGTAATCCATGAATGTGATCAGAACGCCACTCCACTCGTTAAACCACATCTAATCACCCAATTGACCTGGTTTTCCCGAAGAAAGAAAAAATACACCAATCGGGCTAATCACTTCTGTTATGAAGACCACGGGGCAAGTAGGCCATTGTAGACGGGGTTAGTAGTGGGTCGCATGCATGTATTTTGATGAAGAATCTAGTCCTAGGCCTGTGGTGTATAATGACAGAATATATTTTGGGTTTTTTTCTCTCCAGGAGAAACTGTGGAAGAACAGAGGCAGAAGATCCAAAACGTGAACATCAGCAAACCATCATGTAACGTCATTGTGCAACCATCAAAGGTGATAGTATTTTATAACCAGGGGGTAGCGCTATGCCGATGGGGTGTCATTTAGGACACAACCTGGGTTGTGTTACTCAAAACTGCCAAGTGGTTCGTCTCGCAAATGTGCTCCTCAGTACCAGGAAACACAACTGTTGTAGACTTAAACAGCATTGAGACTGACTGACTGTGTTACTAACTGCACAGAGTTTCCTCTACTTCTGTCTGGCCTGGCTCATCCTGTCTTCATATAATCTGCCTACAGTCTGCTGCTGCTGCTGTGTTGGTGACAGATGCTGAGTGGCATGGGTGTGATCCTGTAAACACACACACACACACACAAAGGCTTGCGGACCAACGCATGCCACTACCATTCAGCACGCTCCATCGCCGCTACACTGGGTCTGGACTGGAGTCTGGCCATATGGTGGCTGTAGAAAAGCTCTATTATGTTGTTGCTAGTTCTCTGTTTGATCTGGTTGGTCCTACTAGTCCTTGATGTCGCCTGTGGTCATTATTATGGGTTTAATCAAGGCCAATATGTCAATGGCAGCTGTGTGTGTGTGTGTGTGTGTGTGTTGAAGCGTAAGCTGCATATGGTAACATGGCACTGCAGCTTGGCTCCCATTCAATGAGTGCGAGCTACAGTGCTTTGCCCTCTCATGTTGCACACACAGGAAGTTCTGACGCACCCTTCACCTAAGTTACAGACCCTTCACCTACATACTGTACAGACTCCTACCTCCACCAATATAAACCTGTCGTGCTTCACACACTCACCAGTGTTATGGGCAATATCTGAAAAACAAGGAGGGACAGATGGCAGGACCACTACCTACAGTTTTCAGTAATGGTTATTACAACCACAATAGTGATTAAGATGTAAGGTTACTTTATATGTGAAGTGCTAGAAGTCATGAAAAAGAAGGAAAACCCCAAACACTGCTTGGTGTTCATGCTCCCAGGTGAGTCCTCGTCACCACCGTGTTTGAGAGATCAAACACTCAGTCATTTAAGGATGTTTCCGTGGTTACGTCCCAACCGAATGCTCTTAATTGGAGAGGAATAAGCCATTTCCTGTATTTTCTCTGCATTTAGGCTTTCATTCCAAGGCCCAAAGCACAGCTTAAGTCTCAAATCTAGCACTTTATGTGTACACCAACTCCCTTTTGAATCAACGAAGTCAGTTGAAGTGTCAAAATAGCAGGCCTATAATATGGTAGACACAGGAAAGAATAATTGTATTGTGTGATGCTTGTGTTTAGTAGTACACTTGCTGGTTGAGTTGCTAAGGTTACGGTTGGGGACAGCACCCTAGTGACTTCCTTCTGTGGATGTTGAAGAGCTCTGAAACCTCGTCGGCGTCAATCTGTTTTCACGTTTGCCAAAAGTTAGCCACATTTTGTGTTCCTTGTTTTTTTGTGTAGCCTACACTTGTTTCTAAATGCAATGTCTGAAGGTGGACATTTTCTCACCTCTTCTCCTTAGTCCTCCAGTGCGACACCTACCCAGACCCACCACTCTCCAGCCCCTGCTCTACCTCCTGTGATCGCGCCATCACCAGGGCATATGTGGAAGCCCCCGGCGCCCATCGTGGAGGCCCCCCCGTCTCTCCCAGAGCTTCTAGGAGATGTCCCATTCACCCTGGCCCCCCATGTTCTGGCCAAGCAGACAGGGGGTCCCGGGTTCCCCCTCTTCTCTGAGATGCTGATGTCTCCCCAAGACATCAACCACAACCTGGCCTCCTTCAGCTACGACTTCACCCTGGAGAACTCTGTGCTCTGTGACCATTGACCTGTAGATAGTCTACTTACTGACTGTATGACCGCTGAACTTGTGATCTGTCAACCTCCCCTCCAATACCAGCCCTATGTCAACCCTGGGTCGTGTTCATTAGGCAGCAAACAGAAGAAAACTTACTGAAACAGGGCGGGACTACCTGGGCTTGTCCAAAAAGAAAGGCCTGTTTTTGTTTTCCTTTGCAAAGTGTTTAGCTACGTGTGCCCTACTGAACACGACCTTGGACTGTCTTGGCTCGTTACCATTCAGGTTTAGTTTCAGTTCTATGGGGCTCTGTCTGAGAATGGTAGTACTATAATTAATGATAAACCTGGTTATGGTGATGATCAGAGTTAGAAAACAGGTGTGAGTCAGTTGGGGTCAAAACTGCACCTGCCGGCAGTGATGTAGGTTACACACAGTATGTAGCTAGATGAGTACACAGAGTTCCACCATTAAGATTGTAGACTACTAGTTCAGCAAGGTGAGTCACTTGCTGATGCATATGTCATAGTAGTGCTGGTTCACTGTTTTAAGAACTTGCCAGTGTGTGTATTTCAAGAGCGCTAGCTTCACGTCTGATAGGCATGCTTCATCATAGCTGTGGCTTTCGTTGAACAGAGTCTGGGTCTGTAGATTCACCTGTTGTTTCTGTTAGTTTAGAAGTCACTGATTGACCTTTGGGTTTGCACTAATGTACGTAGGAGACAGATTTCAGATAGTTTTCTAATCTTATAAAGGAAATTACACATCATATTCTTTATCTGGTTATGTTTTTTACCCTGGTGTCAAATCAAATTGTATTTATAAAGCTCTTTTAACATCCGCAGATGTCACAAAGTGCTATACGGAAACCCAGCCTAAAACCCCAAACAGCAAGCAATGCAGATGTAGAAGCACGGTGGCTAGGAAAAACTCCCTAGAAAGGCAGAAACCTAGGAAGAAACCTAGAGAGGAACCAGGCTCTGAGGGGTGGCCAGTCCCCTTCTGGCTGTGCCGGGTGGAGATTATAACAGTACATGACCATTAAGGCCAGATTTTTCTCCAAGATGTTCAAACGTTTATAGATGACCAGCAGGGTCAAATAATAATCACTGTGGTTGAAGAGGTTGCAACAGGTTGTCCTCACCTTTGCCAATGAAGTTAAGAATGCTTTAACAAGACATTTCCAAAAACTTTTGTGTAGCATAAGCATTTCTATAGAGAAACTATGTAGCTTTTTGATTACATATTTAAAATGTAAGAATATATATCCCCTATTTTTCAACATTTATTATCAGGACTCACTCGATATGGTTACTCTTATGTGGCCTTCCTCTGTTGATCATCTTCAGCATGGCTCTAATGAATGTATCATCATGTGTTGTAACTTCCCAAACATTGTATTTATTGTTATTTATTCTGTTTTTGAACAAACCAAGTTTCTCCCAGTCTTCATGGCACAGTTCAGATTTGACAGTGTTTCAAGGTATCCTGTCCCGTATACTGCATTGCACACTGGTGAACAAATTATCTTGTGAACACATACACATTCAGTTACCTCTGACTGCTGTACAAATGTGAGAGTGCAAGAAAATACCAATTATATTTAGTTAAAATACTTTTTTGGACTATTATTTAAAGTAAACTCCTTATGAGTTGTTAACTTATGAGTAAGTAAGCATTTCACTGTAATGTCTGCACCTGTTGTATTCGGCGCATGTGACCAATAAAATTTGATTTGATTTGATTTGATTAACTCCTAAGACAACCACTCAAGAATCTGAAAAGATGGCTCATAAGTTGCTCTGTTATTTTCAATGCAATGTCGTGGTATTCCACATCATGTGAAATCATCCACAGAGGCTGTGTTTACACACACAGCCAAATTGTATATATATATATACAGTGAGCTCCATAATTCATTGGACAGTGACAATTTTTTTGTTATTTTGGTTCTGTACTCTAGCACTTTGAGTTTGAAAGGATACAATGACAATGAGGGTGAAGTGCAGACTGTCAGCTTTAATTTGAGGGTATTTTCATATATATCGGATGAACTGTTTAGAAATGATAGCACCTTTTATACATGGTCCCCCCATTTTAAGGTACTACAAGTATTTGTTAAATTGGCTTCACAGATGTTTGTTGTTAGGCAGGTGTATTCATTTGTGTCGTTAGTGAATGCAGGAGAGCTGTTGATGAATAGCATTGATTCTAGACTTTGCTATTGCCTTTGGAGGTTGTTGTTGTGGTGTGACAACATGAGGAAGACAGCAGTGTCGATGCAAATGAAGCTGGCCGTCATAAGGCTCAGAAATGAAAATCAATCAATCAGGAACATTGCAAAAACCCTGGCCATGCCCAAGTCAACAGTTTGGTTCATCAATAACAAGAAAAAAACAACCGGTGAACTCAATTATGTCAAAAGACCCGGTAGACCGAGGAAGACCACTGTAGTGGATGACCGGAGAATACTCTCTATGGTGAAGAAAACCCCCCTGACAACAGCCCAACAGATCAAAAACACTCTCCTGGATGCAGGTGTAGATGTGTTAAAGTCTACCATACGTAGAAGACTACACCAGCAGGACTACAGAGGGTACACTACAAGATGCAAACCACTGATAAGCCTGAAGAACAGAAAGGCGAGATTACAGTTTGCTAAAAAGCACCTAAAAGAGCCCCAAGAGTTCTGGAAAAAAGTATTGTGGACAGATGAGACAAAGATTAACATGTACCAGAGTGATGGAAAGAGGAAAGTGTGGAGAAAAAAAAGAAATGCCCATGATCCAAAGCATACCACCTCATCCGTGAAACATGGTGGAGGGGGTGTTATGGCTTGGGCCTGTATGGCTGCCAGTGGAACAGGCTCACTTGTCTTCATCGATGATGTGACTGCAGACAGAAGTAGAACAATGAATTCTGAAGTCTATAGAAATATTTTATCTGCTCAGATAAAACCAAATGCCTCCAAACTCATTGGACGGCACTTCATCATGCAACAAGACAATGACCCTAAACATACTGCTAGAGCAACAAAGGGGTTTTTGATGGCCAAAAAGTGGAAAATCCTTGACTGGCCGAGTCAATCACCGGATCTGAATCCAATTGAACATGCATTTTACATGCTGAAGAGGAGACTGAAGGCAATAAGTCCCCAAAATAAGCAGGAACTGAAGATGGCTGCAGTACAGGCCTGGCAGAGCATCACCAGGGAAGATACCCAGCGTCTGGTGATGTCAATGCATCGCAGACTTCAAGCAGTCATTGCATGCAAAGGATATGCGACCAAATATTAACACTGATTACTTTATTCTACATTATGTTAAACTGTCCAATGATTTTTGATGCCCGAAAATGGGGGGGACCATGTACAAAAGCTTCTATAATTCGTAAACGGTTCATCCGATATGTATGAAAATACCCTCAAATTAAAGCTGACAGTCTGCACTTCACCCTCATTGTCATTGTATCCTTTCAAACTCAAAGTGCTAGAGTACAGAACCAAAATAACAAAAAAATTGTCACTGTCCAATGAATTATGGAGCTCACTGTATATATATATTTTTTTTGATCATTTCTTTTGCCAATAATTGCGCAAAAAAATCTGAATTTGGCTGCCTGTATAAACGCAGCCTTACTACTGTATACATTATGAAATGTTTGGGATTTACCCTTTCTGGATAATCCTTTGCTGTGCATAGCAGGAAACCAAGTTTATTTCTATCCGTTTGTGTTAAACGATACTGTGGATTTTCCCAGGCCTCTTCCTCTCTTTGTAATTCAATCACTGACCTAACCATGCATTTTGTTTTTTTGGTTTCACTGGCGTGGAAGGCTACAGTCGTTTGCTTTGTATTTTGGTGGGGGTTTGAGTAACTTAGTTTGTTTGGTTTACTTGGATGTATTTTGGGGGTTTGTTACGGTGTGGTTCATTTATGTGGTTGTTGTGCATGTTTGCTATTAACAAGATCTTGTTTTTATTTATCTTGTCCTGCTGTTTTTTTGTTAATTTTAACTGAGGGGTTTCTCTAAAGATGGTTGACCTGTAAAAGTATGAGTACTGTATTTGTATTAGTAGTAGCTAGTACATAGGAAATACAGTGTATTTGGAAAGTATTCAGACCCCTTGACTTTTTCCTCATTTTGTTACGTTATAGCCTTATTCACAGAATACCCCATAATGAAAAACGGAAATATCACATTTACATAAGTATTCAGACCTTTTACTCAGTACTTTGTTGAAGCACCTTTGGCAGTGATTACAGCCTCAAGTCTTCTTGGGTATGACGCTACAAGCTTGGCACATCTGTATTTGGGGAGTTTCTCCCATTCTTCTCTGCAGATCCTCAAGCTCTGTCAGGTTGGATGGGGAGCGTCGCTGTACAGCTATTTTCAGGTCTCTCCAGAGATGTTCAATCGGGTTCAAGTCCGGGCTCTGGCTGGGCCACTCAAGGACATTCAGAGACTTGTCCCGAAGCCACTCCTGCGTTGTCTTGGCTGTGTGCTTAGGGTCATTGTCCTGTTGGAAGGTGAACCTTCGCCACAGTCTGAGGTCTTGAGCGCTCTGGGGCAGGTTTTCATCAAGGATCTCTCTGTACTTTTCTCCGTTCATCTTTCCCTCGATCCGGACTAGTCTTCCTGTCCCTGCTGTTGAAAAACATCCCCACAGCATGATGCTGCCACCACCATGCTTCACCGTAGGGATGGTGCCAGGTTTCTTCCAGATGTGACGCTTGGCATTCAGGCAAAATAGTTCAATCTTGGTTTCATCAGATCAGAGAATCTTGTTTCTCATGGTCAGAGACCTTTAGGTGCCTTTTGGCAAACTCCAAGCGGGCTGTCATGTGCCTTTTACTGAGGATTGGCTTTTGTCTGGCCACTCTACCATAAATGCCTGATTGGTGGAGTGCTGCAGAGATGGTTGTCCTTCTGGAAGGTTCCCCCATCTCCACAGAGGAACTCTGGAGCTCTGTCAGAGTGACCATCAGGTTCTTGGTCACCTTCCTGACCAAGGCCCTTCTCCCCCGATTGCTCAGTTTGGCCAGGCGGCCAACTCTAGGAAGAGTCTTGGTGGTTCCAAATTTCTTCCATTTAAGAATGATGGAGGCCACTGTGTTCTTGGGGACTTTCAATGCTATATACATGTTTTGGTACCCTTCACCAGATCTGTGCCTCGACACAATCCTGTCTCGGAGCTCTACGGACAATTACTTCGACCTCATGGCTTGGTTTTTGCTCTGAAATGCAGTGTCAACTGTGGGACCTTATATAGACAGGTGTGTGGCTTTCCAAATCATGTCCACTCAATAGAATTTACCACAGGTGGACTCCAATGAAGTTGTAGAAACATCTCAAGGATGATAAATGGAAACAGGATGCACCAGAGCTAAATTTCGAGTCTCATAGCAAAGGGTCTGAATACTTATGTAAATAAGGTATTTCTGTTTTTAACTTTGTATACATTTGCAAGAATATCTAAAAACCTGTTTCTCTTTGTCATTATGGGGTATTGTGGGTAGATTGATGAGGAAAACAATTCATTTAATCCATTTTAGAATAAGGCTGTAACGTAAGAAAATGTGTAAAAAGTGAAGGGGTCTGAATACTTTCCGAATGCACTGTATGTCGTTATTGGGTTAAAGGATATGTTTTACATGCGATCTCCCCTACTTAACTGCTTCTGTTTTCATAATGCTAGTACCTGAGCATCAGCCAAGTGTTTGCACATTATCCTGATATCAGGTACTCAGTGTTGGGGAAGCTACTCTGAAAATATAGTTTACTTCACATTGGAAGAAGTTAAGTTACACTAAAGCTACCCTTAAAAAATATATTGTTTACTTAACTAAAGTTACTTTCAAAAGTAGTTCACTACATCCAAAGTCCTTTATTATCATATGTAAATCTGAAATGTCATAGACAACAAATTGCAAGAACAGATCACTCTGTAGTCAGATGTTTAAAGAATATGTAATTGATCCTATTAATCACAACAACAACAAAATTCAAGTGAGAATTAGGCAGGTCTTATGCTAAAAAATAAAGGAAATTATTGCCTATTTCACCCATATTTTATTTTTAGAAAAAGAGTAGAGTGTAATTCCAGTAGCTACCTACAGAACTAAATGGCAAAAAAGTAATTAACTACTGAAAACACTACCTTGATTTGAATTTAGTTAAAGTACCACCAAGCTACTGCAAAATGTAGTTAAATTACAAGTTTAACTACATGTACAGTACTTCACTACTCCCCAACATTGCAAGTACTGTAAATTCTAATTGATATTAAGAGTTATGGAGGATGTTACATGCAATAGTACATCAGGTAAACCTCTGAACATGCAGTTGTGTGTTCTTTGAAAATGTAGCCTACCTCTGAAGAAGTTTGAATGGCACTTTAAAAGTACACCATTTTACCTTGTGGTATATCTGCCAAGTTTACACACCCTTATTCTGAACCCTGTCTTCAACTTTACTTCCTTTTCAGTCCTTGTCCAATGCCTTTTAACATTTATTTTGGTTCAGTATCCTCTTTGTGTTTCAATTGTATATGCATTTGATTGTGAATCAGCTATGCATAATCTTTTTTGTTTGAATGTGGGTGAAAGAACTGCCTCAAATTTGTACAAAAGCAGACTATTAAAAAAAGATGTAAAATCTATTGTGATGATTCTTGTCTTGTTGTATGGTGAAAGTTTACTACTGTAATAAATGTGTGTGTACAGCAATATGTGGATTTTTAGTATGGATCTAGGTACAATATTTTGTATCTTTAAACTGTGCAGTGGTTGTTTCAATTTACTCAAACGTGTCATTGACGACGACTGGTCTAATGCGGCGTTGAAAACAACTACGAACTCGGGGAAAAAACTAGCTCCGACTGTGAAAAATCGATTTGAACGGTCATCCAACTCGGAATTCCAACTCGAGAACTCGGCATATTTCTAGAGCGCTACATTCTGACCTGAAGATCACTGACGTCATGATTTGACCTCATTTTTCCGAGTTCCCAGTTGTTTTTCACGCGGCATTAGAGTAACATTGCAGTTGTCAACAGAAACCCAGACGACCTTTATTTTTTGCTGAAGATTCTGCACCACCCACTTCTCTGATATTTAACTCTGCATCAATCGCTTGCTCGAGAGCAGTCTACCTTCAATCTTCAGCAAACTTCAATGAATCGATTGCTGGATGCTTAGACTGTGGCCAATGACCTCGACCTTCCAGTATTATATTGACCAATCAGAGCTTTACAGTGAGGGATTTTGCCCCGCCCCGATCTGTCAACCAGTAGTTTTGACAGGAATAACACAGGAAAGGGGGTTGCGTGTTGCAAGACAGACAACACTGAGACAAAACTAGCAAGCTATGTTGTGACTTGCGCTTTTATAAGTAAAGTTCGTGGTTTAAGTAGGTTTGGTTCAATATGAAGGTGTTTAATTGAGAGTTTTTCGAGAATCCTTACTTGTTCGAACACTTCAAAATTGACAAGTAGCAGAAAAAGTGCGAAAATGTAGCTAGCTAGCTAAGCTAATTGGGAAGCTTACTAACTGAACTCAACTGGACTTTTACAAAAACAAATGTTCTAGCTAACTTTTGGGGGAAAGTTGGTTACCAACTTGCTTTGTCATGTCACATTTATATATTTGAGCAAGCCAACGAAAATACTCTCAGGGAACTTAAATACTTTCAGGTAACTTGAGGCTTATTCAAGATTTGTACTTTGTATTTTTGCCAAGTTTGTCAACTGGAAGAGTTGCACTGTGGCAAGTGGCAATCAACATCATGTCAACAGCATCATCAGCAACCAATTCAACCCAACAGCAGCAACAGAGGGTCAAGCGCAGCGGTGACGGCTCCCCAACTATCATCTTTCCAGCCGGCTGCAGCAACGGCAACACCACCACGATCCGGTTGCAGCCTATTCGTGCCACGGTGCCGTACCAGCTCTTGCGTGGAAGTCAGCACAGCCCAACCCGCTCCTGCTCCTCTTTATTCATAGTCGCGAGCAATACAGGACCGACGTCGACGTCCCGTTGCAACAGTCCCGGCAGCCCGACGCAGCTGCTGCTCGAGAATCCGGTTGGAAACGGCTCCGTGGAGGGCAGGCTGGTCGCAAGGCAAAGACGCTCGCCGCCGGACAGCAAGAGCTCACCTGAGCGGTGTCCGAACTCGCCTGTTTTCAAAGGTGCGGTAGTACCCTCTTGTCCATAATTTATTGCATCCAAAGCTAAGTATGCTAGCTGTTGCTATAACTAGCAAGCTAATTGGGTCAAGCTAATATTATTTTGCTCAACATTGTGTGTTTATAAGCCCATATAGCAAATAACATACATTGCTAACCCTGAAAATGCTGTAATTTATTGCGCATGTAGTAGTATGAATGATTATGCACCCAATAGCCAAATGTTGTCATGTTAAAATAATGAATTGGCATCGAGGGGATACTTTGAAACCATACATATGCATATTAACTATGTTGTTTAATTTTCAAACAATTGCTTTGGGCTTTCGATTTATGTCTCCGTGGCTATTATATTATTATGGTGATGATGCAGTTACTGTACCTCCAGCCAGCGCGCGCCAGTTAAGATAAATACGGGTTACATTTCTAGAATACTGGCAACGGCAACCACATATTGGACATGTTAAAATGATTAAATAAATACCGATCATGATTAGTGTGACATGTTCATTTATTTAGGTATTTTCTCAGAAATGTACGCTTGTTGACCGGCGCGAAGGAATGGAAAAAATTACGTTGTTGAGGGAAGGTCGCGCGCTTAAGGCAACACTGGGGCCTAGCAGGAGCGAGCGCATCTCGAGATGTAAACACGATGATTATATTGCAAGTGCTGCTTCTGCTCGTTGCAAATAGGTTTTTCTAAAGCAGCAGTGTTATTTGACACCTTACAGGAGAGTACAATTTACTCCATTTGACAGATGAGTAAATACATCCATCGAAGAGGTGGAATGCTATTAGGGAGTGCTATTCTTTCCCAGCACTTATGATGGCATGGATTCTAGAAGAGGTAGAGACAGGGTATTCCAATGCATTTTTCTAGCCAACAGGTCCACAATATGCTGTCTCTATTCACCCTCTTTCAAAATAGGAGACTCCAATAGCCTAGGTGTGCAATGCAAATTCTGCAGGTCTAGTAGTACTGTCTGCTGGTAGTACTACTGCTTTGACAATGGGATACCATGGCCCAGAAACCCCTAGAAAGCCTTGACCCTTGACCTTTCTCTGTGTCAAGCCAGAGATGATGGATGCAATATGGTGAGGTCACTGGTGACCAGAGGTTCTGCATATTTTAGGTGCAGGGCATTGGACAGGGGGCACCACGACTGGGGTTGAATTCCATTCCGCATTTCAGTGCACAGAATGGAAAAGCACCCCTAAATGAGCCGTTTTATCATATAATCTCATAGAAAGCATATGATATTCAAAAGGCTAGATTTCTCAGCTTGGTAACAGTTTGTCGTCTGTACTGTAGTCATTTTGAATTAGTGGACAGGTCAAACATGTAGGCTCTAGTCTCCTCCAAATAATGACAAGTGACAACCACATGAAATAGTGAAAGTAATTTGATAATATTGATGTCCTCTGTGTTAGTATGCTGCGCTTGTGCAGTCATTGTTGGCAGCCCTATGTGCTATGCAGTCATTAGTACTCATCTATTAACAATATTCTGTTCCTACATTAGCATTGAGGTAGTGCCTTGGGTCCTGTGTGTGTTGGTTATGCAGCATGCACAAGTCTGTGCAAAAATGTTGTTTGTTTGATAATGGGTGACAGGCAGGTCTGTTAGGAGACAGGCTGTTCATTCCTTCCTGCTCACACTGGTTGGTCACTGCTGAAAGTGTTCCGTTGTTCAGGCCATGGCGACATATTCTGACGTTCCATCACATTACCTTTTAAAGTGGAAATTTGAAACTTTTTGGCGACTGACCAAATTCACATAGAAATGTGAGTTATATATCTATCATTCAACTTGAAAGCAAGTCTAAGAAGCGGTAGATCTGCTCTATGTGCGCTATTTCTATGCTTCCCGTTCTTAAGTTTTGTTTTTGTTGTCTTTTCATTTCAGTTTTGTACACCAGCTTCGAACAGTTGAAACAACAATATTTTTGGTTATGGAAAATATACTTCACAGCTGTTTAGATGGTACAGTGATTTTCTACACTATACTTGCTTATTTTGTCACATAAACTGAAATTAAGCGAACTAGTAGAGTTTAAGCTACCAGGAAATGGTGGAGCATTTACTGCATAGTGCAACTTTAACCATGACGATGATGTCATCTAGCTTATATGAACCAAAAATATAGGAAGGTGTTTAAAACCATCTGTTTGAAGTTGGCTGACACTGTCAGTTCTGTGTTGGAGTAGAGACAGGCCTAACTCTCATTGCTACAGGGGTGTTATGTTGAGGCATTGATTCTGCACTGCTGCAACCTAACTAAAATATGTTAGAGACATGCTGCTTGCATTTCCATAGCATATTGAATCTGGCTCATATCCCATTATGTATAGAATAATCAATACCTTGTTGTACAAATGGAGGATTCGTGAGACGAGAAGTGGTGAAGCTGTAAAGTTGTGCCGTTATGGTTTCAGGTCTTTAAGCGTATAGCTTGTAAAGCAAGCTTGTAGAGGACTGTAGGCTGGGAGTGATTTAGAATACATAACTCTGGCATGAACAGCTTTAATGGAGAAAATGAAACCGTTTTATCTTCAGGTAGTAAGTGGGGTGGGGGGGGGGGTTCTGTGCCTGTCAAGTTATGAACAGTGGGACAGTGAATATGTTTACGTAGGTGTTATCTAATCTAATATATGTTCCTTTTGACACTTGAAGTCATTAACTACAAGGGACTTCTTGTGAACTCTCTCCAGGTATAACTTCAGAGAGAGAGGGTTGTAAACTACGCTGAAAAGTGTTTGTGTGTGTGACGCATCAGTTAATTAGCCAGTCCACTACGCACTCGTGAAGCTGGAAAACAATGTCAAGGCAGCTTCCTGTAATAGGCTTGGCATTAAAGGAACACAACACAACAACAACCACCTACTTCCTGATGAAAGGATCCAAACTGCAGATCTGTGAGCTACGTCCTATATTAAGCTAGTGCACTACTTTTGACCAGAGCCACAGGCATCCAAAATGGCACCTAGTTTACTACTTTTGGACAGATCTATAGGGATCTTTCATGTAAAGTGCCTGTTCTGCTAGTGACAGTCTTTCTGTGACCCTGTGCTGAACCATCAGACAGATTTAAAGTGAGAGTGGGATTATGACTGATTGAACAGGTGACATCATCACCTCGAACAGTGAACACAACCGGTCTCTCTTCGAAACTACAATATGGTCAATGTTGCCTTTAAATAGTAAGGGGTTGAATGAAAGAGTTAGTTGTGCAGATAGAGATGGATTGCGTATCTTGTGTGAATGCTGTGCATTCAACCTCTGGCAACACAAAGACTGTGGGTTCAATTCCTGCAGGGATCACATGCAAACTCAAAATATATGAACTCTCTACTGCAGGTGGCTTTGGATAACAGCGTCTGCTAAGTGGCATGTATTATTATATTATTAACCCCCTTTGTAAACCTTTCAACACTGTTCGGATACACAGTAAGAGTGATTTCATCTACACCATTATTTAAGAACTATAATTTTGAATAATCGCATACTTTTCTGTCACAACTGTCAAATAAGTGTCCCATAGCTTCTACATCAAAGGCTAAGCCTATATCTTGGCTAGAGAAGCTTGTATCTGTGACCAGACCCAAATGTTAGGTTATTTCAACTCATTCCTTCTATTGTTTACATCTCAATTTTTGGTCTGGCTGAAAATCATTGAAATCGCCGGAAAGCATATACACACAGGGCATCATTCCAAAGTGGGAATATGTGTTTTTCTTTATTTTTTGTTGGTATGATGATGGGAGCTCTCAATGTAGAGGCAGGAAGTTCAGTTTCCAAAATAGTTGTTTAGCTGAAGTTCTTATCCAGAGCCACTGATTTTATAGCTGGTTTGTATGTATAGGCCAGAGATCGGCAAAAATTTCCATGGGAGAGTATCATCAAAACTTTTGGAATGGAGCTATCTTGGCCTGTTTCATTAAATCATTCAATGTTTAGGTTAGTTGTTGTTTTAGTCACATTAAGTCACATGTAAGTAGTCACATAATGTAAACCTGTGAATGGTCATGCTATAGTCAATATGCTATAGAAATTGAGTCCATAACGATATTAGGGTTATTGAATGACCTGAGACTGATGGTTATTGCATGTTTTAGCTGTTGTTTCTGTCACATATGTAACCTAGGCCTAAACCTGTGACATTGTCCTGTTATTACAGGTGTTCCATATGTAAGCATGTGTTCCCTCAAACATTGTTCTGGTATGATGTGGGAGAGTTTCTCTGTCATTCAACACCATTCCTTTCTCTCTGTTTGTTCCCCTGGTAATGGTCCATGCCTCACCATTGTTCAGCATCTTAGGGTTAACTGCAAGGTTGCACTGTGCATTTATGAGCGTGTCAAAGGCTATGGTATGGCAATTTGTGTTATTACTGTAGGTGTTAGCCTATGGCCTGAGGAGAAAGTATGTAGGCTTAGAACAGTCTTTGTAACTGTCATGGCTTCATTAGTAGTAGGCCCTGAATAGTACTGTGTTTTTGTAACTGCCATGTGGCTTTATTTAAAATGATTACTTATAGTAGGCCTATTCCATATAGTATCGTATTCTATATTTTCCAGCTCTGTTTAACTATTATTTTTTTAAAACTGACTGCAGGTTGGCCTAGCATGGGAACCAAGCAGATTTGACTACGTTTCTATCGTGAGAGCAGCTGTCTGGTTGGCTCTCTATCTAAACCTTGTGAAACCTGACTGTAACCATTAGTCCAATGTAACCATTGGACTTTATTTTGATAAGGTCCCCTGAAGAGCTCAGTTTATATGTTTAGTCTTTGATATCTGACTGGTGCCGTTGGTTTTCTAACCTTCCGCGTGACAGTGTGTCACACTACCTAGCTTTGAAGAAGACATCGCAATGTCTGTTTTGAACATTTGCATATACAGTACCAGTCAAAAGTTTGGGCACACCTACTCATTCCAGGGTTTTTCTTTATTTTTACTATTTTCTACATTGTAGAATAATAGTGAAGACATCAAAACTATGAAATAACACATGGAACCATGTAGTAACCAAAAAAAGTGTTAAACAAATCAAAACATGTAATATTTTATATTCTTCAAAGTAGCCACCCTTTGCTTTGATGACAGCTTTGCACACTCTTGGCATTCTCTCAACCAGCTTCACCTGGAATGCTTCTCCAACAGTCTTGAAGGAGTTCCCATATGTGCTGAGCACTTGTTGGCTGCTTTTCCTTCACTCTGCGGTCCAACCCATCCCAAACCATCTCAATTGGGTTGAGGTCGGGTGATTGTAGAGGCCAGGTCATCTGATGCAGCAATCCATCACTCCTTCTTGATCAAATTGCCCTTACACAGCCTGGAGGTGTGTTGGGTCATTGTCCTGTTGAAAAACAAATGATAGTCCCAGTAAGCGCAAACCAGATGGGATGGTGTATCGCTGCAGAATGCTGTGGTAGCCATGCTAGTTAAGTGTGCCTTGAATTCTAAATAAATCACTGACAGTGTCACCAGCAAAGCACCCCCACACCATCACACCACCTCCTCCATGCTTCATGGTGGGAACCGCACATGCGGAGATCATCCGTTCACCTACTCTGTGTCTCACAAAGACACGGCGGTTGGAACCAAAAATCTCAAATTTGGACAGATTTCCACCGGTCTAATGCCCATAGCGCTTGATGGTTTTTGCGACTGCACTTAAAGAAACTTTGAAAGTTCTTGACATTTTCCGTATTGACTGAACTTCATGTCTTAAAGTAATGATGGACTGTCGTTTCTCTTTGCTTATTTGAGCTGTTCTTGCCATAATATGGACTTGGTCTTTTACCAAGTAGGGCTATTTTCTGTATACCACCCCTACCTTGTCACAACACAACTGATTGGCTCAAACAGATTAAGAAGGAAAGAAATTCCACAAATGAACTTTTAACAAGGCACACCTGTTAATTGAAATGCATTCCAGGTGACTACCTCATGAAGCTGGTTGAGAGAATGCCAAGAGTGTGCAAATCTGTCACCAAGGCAAAGGGTGGCTACTTTGAAGAATCTCAAATATTACATATACAGTTGAAGTCGGAAGTTTACATACACCTTAGCCAAATACATTTAAACTCAGTTTTTCACAATTCCTGACATTTAATCCTAGTAAAAATTCCCTGTTTTAGGTCAGTTAGGATTTTTATTTATTTTATTTCACCTTTATTTAACCAGGTAAGCCAGTTGAGAACAAGTTCTCATTTACAACTGCGACCTGGCCAAGATAAAGCAAAGCAGTGCGATAAAAACAACAACACAGAGTTACATATGGGGTAAAACAAAACATAAAGTCAAAAATACAACATATAATATATATATACAGTGTGTGCAAATGGAGCAAGTTATGGAGGTAAGGCAATAAATGGGCCATAGTGCAAAATAATTACAATTAGTATTAACACTGGAATGATAGATGTGCAAGAGATGATGTGCAAATAGAGATACTGGGGTGCAAATTAGCAAAATAAATAACAATATGGAGATGAGGTAGTTGGGTGGGCTAATTTCAGATGGGCTGTGCAGTGATCGGTAAGGTGCTCTGACATCTGATGCTTAAAGTTAGTGAGGGAGATAAGAGTCTCCAGCTTCAGAGATTTTTGCAGTTTGTTCCAGTCATTGGCAGCAGAGAACTGGAAGGAATGGCGGCCAAAGGAGGTGTTGCCTTTGGGGATGACCAGTGAGATATACCTGCTGGAGCGCATACTACAGGTGGGTGTTGCTATGGTGACCAATGAGCTAAGATAAGGCGGGGATTTGCCTAGCAGTGATTTATAGATGGCCTGGAGCCAGTGGGTTTGGCGACGAATATGTAGTGAGGACCAGCCAACAAGAGCATACAGGTCACAGTGGTGAGTAGTATATGGGGCTTTGGTGACAAAACGGATGGCACTGTGATAGACTACATCCAATTTTCTGAGTAGAGTGTTGGAGGCTATTTTGTAAATGACATTGCCGAAGTCAAGGATCGGTAGGATAGTCAGTTTTATGAGGGCATGTTTGGCAGCATGAGTGAAGGAGGCTTTGTTGCGAAATAGGAAGCCGATTCTAGATTTAACTTTGGATTGGAGATCCTCAATGTGAGTCTGGAAGGAGAGTTTACAGTCTAACCAGACACCTAGGTATTTGTAGTTGTCCACATACACTAGGTCAGACCCGTCGAGAGTAGTGATTCTAGTCGGGTGGGCGGGTGCCAGCAGCGTTCAATTGAAGAGCATGCATTTAGTTTTACTAGTGTTTTTAAGAGCAGTTGGAGGCTACGGAAGGAGTGTTGTAAGGCATTGAAGCTTGTTTGGAGGTTTGTTAACACAGTGTCCAATGAAGGATGTATACAAAATGGTGTCGTCTGCGTAGAGGTGGATCTGAGATTCACCAGCAGCATGAGCGACATCATTGATATACACAGAGAAAAGAGTCAGCCCAAGAATTTAACCCTGTGGCAACCCCATAGAGACTGCCATAGGTCCAGACAACAGGCCCTCCGATTTGACACAGGATCACCACTTTATTTTAAGAATGTGAAATGTCAGAAAAATAGGAGAGAGATTGATTTATTTCAGCTTTTATTTCTTTCATCACATTCCCAGTTGGTCAGAAGTTTACATACACTCAATTAGTATTTGGTAGCATTGCCTTTAAATTGTTTAACTTGGGTCAAACGTTTCGGGTAGCCTTCCACAAGCTTCCCACAATAAGTTGGGTGAATTTTGGCCCATTCCTCCTGACAGAGCTGGTGTAACTGAGTCAGGTTTGTAGGCCTCCTCGCTCGCACACGCTTTTTCAGTTCTGCCCACACATCTTCTATAGGATTGAGGTCAGGGCTTTGTGATGACCACTCCAATACCTTGACTTTGTTGTCCTTAAGCCATTTTGCCACAACTTTGGAAGTTTGCTTGGGGTCATTGTCCATTTGGAAGACCCATTTGCGACCAAGCTTTAACTTCCTGACTGATGTCTTGAGATGTTGCTTCAATATATCCAAATAATTTTCCTTCCTCATGATGCCATCTATTTTGTGAAGTGCACCAGGCCCTCCTGCAGCAAAGCACCCACACAGCATGATGCTGCCACCCCGTACTTCACGGTTGGGATGGTGTTCTTCGGCTTGCAAGCCTTCCCCTTTTTCCTCCAAACATAACGATGGTCATTATGGACAAACAGTTCTATTTTTGTTTCATCAGACCAGAGGACATTTCTCCAAAAAGTACGATCTTTGTCCCCATGTGCAGTTGCAAACCGTAGTCCGGCTTTTTTATGGCGGTTTTGGAGCAGTGGCTTCTTCCTTGCTGAGCGGTCTTTCAGGTTATGTTGATATAGGACTCATTTTTACTGTGGATATAGATAATTTTATACCTGTTTCCTCCAGCATCTTCACAAGGTCATTTGCTGTTGTTCTGGGATTGATTTGCACTTTTCGCACCAAAGTGCGTTCATCTCTAGGAGACAAAACGCGTCTCCTTCCTGAGTGGTATGACGGCTGCGTGGTCCCATGGTGTTTATACTTGCGTACTATTGTTTGTACAGATGAACGTGGTACCTTCAAGCGTTTGGAAATTGCTCCCAAGGGTGAACCAGACTTGTAGAGGTCTACAATTTTCTTGCTGAGGTCTTGGCTAATTTCTTCTGATTTTCCCATGATGTCAAGCAAAGAGGCACTGAGTTTGAAGGTAGGCCTTGAAATATATCCACAGGTACACCTCCAATTGACTCAAATAATGTCAATTAGCCTATCAGAAGCTTCTAAACCATGACATAATTTTCCTGAATTTTCCAAGCTGTTTAAAGGCACAGTCAACTTCGTGTATGTAAACTTCTGAATTATAAGTGAAGTAATCTGTCTGTAAACAATTGTTGGAAAAATTACTTGTGTCATGCACAAAGTAGATGTCCTAACCGACTTGCCAAAACTATAGTTTGTTAACAAGAAATTTGTTGAGTGGTTGAAAAACGAATTTTAATGACTCCAACCTACGTGTATGTAAACCTCCGACTTCAACTGTATTTTGATTTGTTTAACACTTTTTTGGTTACTACATGATTCCATATGTGTTATTTCATAGTTTTGAAGTCTTCACTTTTATTCTACAATGTAGAAAAGAGTAAAAATAAATGAGTAGGTGTGTCCAAACTTTTGACTGGGACTGTATATCCATTCCTTTACAGTTTTTCCCCCTTGTTCGACAGGGATTTACACATCGTTGCATCAGATATTATCAAACTGATGTTTGTTTTTCTCGTTCCCTTATGTTGATATTAATGCTTGTTTTGCCAACTATGACAAAAGAGGGAGTGTTTTAGATGACCTTTATTTGTGACAGATGTTTTCAGTTCCCTAGGCCAATGGTAACATGTCTGTGTATGTATGTTCTGTGTAGCTTTTTCCCTATACTATGTCACTTTTTGGAAAAGGTCAAACACACACCTTGTTCTGACCTGGACTGAAAGAACTCTCCTAAGGTGGTTGGTGTAGTTTGTTAGTCATTGAATACCTACATAACGCAAAGGCCTAGGATTGAGGAGGCACATGCAAACTCATATTTACACACACACACACACACACACACACAGACAGACACATGCGATCTGTGACAGCACCTGGCAGAGTCATGCTCCTCTCTCTCTCTCATCTGCTCTCAGGAAACTGGAAAAATAACTGGGAGCGAAAGGTGTATGTGCCAGGATGCAAGACACCTAATGCTGTAGGTCTATAGGACTAGAAGAAGCCTGTCCAGTAGACCTAATGTTGTGGGTCTACTAGGCCCTAGGACAAGCCTGCACATCTCGGTGGAACACTTTATCCGTTTGGAGCTCAGACCGGTTCCACCTAGCCTCATCATGAGCAATAATCTTCTATGTGTCACTTCCTAGTGTAACTAGGCTAACCATTACAGACACAGCCCGAGGCTGCAGAGCTGGTGTGAGGAAGGCCTACACTCTTAGAAAAAAGGGTGCTATCTAGAAGCGGCTGTCCACATAGGATAACCCTTTGAAGTAGTGTTGTCACGATACCAAAGTTTTACCAAAGATACCAGGCCAACTATCATGATACCGCGGTACAAACATTCTGAGTGGCCTAGCGTCCTGTTCGCCCGGTCCCACCGACGCTTGTTCCTGTTTTCTAAATGTTATGTGCATGTGCTACACAAAAAAACATGTCACTGATATTCACACTTCTAACCAGTACAACACATAGAATTTAACTTCACACTGTTCACTGTATAATAGATACTGAATAGAATGGCTGATTTGCTCATATTTGCAAAGGCCTACCTGTGATTTGGCTGGAGGAATGGGAGGAAGGAATATACATGAAGAGTGATCTGCATGTCACTGTGGCAGTAAGGGGAAAACACTGCATGAAACCCTCTTTACTCTTCAGTAAGCACACAAACGCACACACTCTTCCTCACACACTCTCTCTGTTTCCCTCTCATACTTACACCACACTCTCTCTCTCTCTCTCTCTCTCTCTCCCACAAACACATACACACTGCTCCCAACTTTAAAAACGTTAGGCACCAAACATAATTTAAGAAATAAATTGATTTTTGATATAGTTTAGGCCTATATGAATCCTACCTTTGAAGCACTTGTCATGAGTAGCAGACCGTTTCCCTTTCTTCCTGTGCCAATCAAATTAGCCTAGACCTACTGTCAAGTTACCAGGTGGTTAGCTAGCTAGGTAACATGGCTGAACAACATTGTTTGTTATCAAACCAATAATTAGTGACCCGGGATATATATAATATATATAATTTAAAAGGGCCCGCGACATGGTTTGTGAAATTATATCAAATGTGCTTGAAATCGCGCAGGAAGAAAAAAGGTAGCTCTGGTAATATGAGTCATATATATTTTTTGCCGTTTTGAGCTAGAGACAAGTCGTTTTCATTGCTGTAAAGCTGCAAGCATGCCTGTTGCGAATCTGTTTCCCCTCTCTGGCACTGATGGGTGACAGCGAACTTGCAAAGCCTACTCAGACTGCCCTGTGGTCTTATACCAGGGAGGGAATATACAATGTATCAAACTATGCTCACTCTGCTCCAATGTATAAAATGTACAAAATGTAACAGAAGACTTATCAGGGACTGCATCACCACTCGCCATCTTGGCTAAATTATAAATAAAAAACTGATGGAGGAAAAGATGCGCAGGAGTAGTTGAAGGAGAGAAGCAGGTGAGTGATGGGTGGAAGGGGATGCAGCTGGCAGGTTACAGCTGCCACGTGATATGCGCATGAAAGTGAAGTGGACATTATTGGACTGGCGCAAACAAGAGAATAGTTGCTGTTGCTTAAATTTTTTTACTGAATTTATTTAAAAAACTGACTTTATAAACATTTTATAAGATTCGCCAGCTGGTTCTTTAAATCGGTAGGGCTGAAAAATATGGTAGTATCATATGAAACGGTACTATGGTATTCAAAAATGTGGGTATCATAAGGATCATGACGTTTTCGTACTGTGATATTACCGTGGTTCCAATATACCGTGCAACACTACTTTGAATAACCTTTGTTGGTTCCAGGTAGAACCAATTTGGGTTTCATGTAGAACCCTCTGTGGAAAGGGTTCTACATGGAACCCAAAACGGTTCTACTTGGAACCAAAAGGGGTTCTTCAATTCCGGTCCTGGAGGGCCGAAACACCTCTGTTTTTCATCCTCTCCTTCTAATCAGGGGCTAATTCAGACCTGGGACACCAGGTGAGTGCAATTAACTACCAGGTAGAAATAAAAAACAGAAGTGTTTTCGCCCTCCAGGACCGGAATTGAAGAACCCTGTCCTATGGGGACAGCTGAAGAACCCTTTTAGGTTCTAGATAGCACAGTTTTTTTCTAAGAGTGTAGTAGAACAACAAACATTTTAAATGATTAAGTTACAACATACAAATCAAATGATGAAAAGTCCAATATGTTTGAAGAGAAGTGTGTTAGGGCTGCACGATATGGGCAAAATATTTGTATAATTTTACTAAATTGCAATTGCGATTTGACTTGCAATATACAGTGCATTCGGAAAGTATTCAGACCCCTTGTCTTTTTCCATATTTTGTTACGTTATAGACTTATTCTAAAATTGATTAAAAATAATGTATTTTCTCATCAATATACACACAATACCCCATAATCACAAAGTGAAAACAGGTTTTTAGAAATTTTAGCAAATGTATTTAAAATTAAAAACATACCTTATTTACATAAGTATTTAGACCCTTTGCTATGAGACTCGAAATTGAGCTCAGGTGCATCCTGGTTCCATTGATCATCCTTGAGATGTTTCTACAACTTGATTGGAGTCCACCTGTGGTAAAATTTAACCCATTTTAGAATAAGGCTGTAACGTAACAAAATGTGGAAAAAGTCAAGGGGTCTGAATACTTTTCGAATGCACTCTATATATCAAAACACTCGGGTGATCTGTTGGAATCATAGAAATATAATTATTTATATTAAAAAGCAAAGTGGAAAGCAGCATCCTTTTTGTTTGGAATAATCTGATCACTGCATTTGACCTAACAGAACAGCATGCAAACGTATAGTGAATCTAACAGCGAGGAGGAGGAACTGCGCTGCTTGATTGACATGCTTGGTGTGTGTGGGAAGCAGCCGCAAGAGGAGCAAAGACTGGAGTAAACTATAAAAATGGACGTTTCACACGGCTGAGTGGAGTTTCAAAATATTGCATGCGATGTGGATCTCTTGCGATATGGATATTGCACATTGTAATATTGCAATTTTGAATGAGAATTAGATTAATTGTGCAACCCTAACATCCAAACAAGTGTTAAAATGCGACAATTCTAAAGCTTCCCAGAGCTTTTGTGTTTAGTCTGAAAAAGACTTCAAGCCAGACAACCAGATATGCTGATTTAGCTTTCTGAGAAGAAACACAAGCAGCATCTTTTGAGAAGAGCTCTGCGTATTATTTCCTCTTTCTTACTTCCTGTTCTTCTTCAGACTTCTGCCGACCTGATACAGCTAACTGCTGCTTGACATAGTGTGTCAGATCACAGCCAAGGCCTTATTATTAGTTCCCTCAGAATGTACTAGTGTAGTCCAGTGGATTTGCCCCAGGTCACCCTGCCCTGTGCCTTTTCTCAGTGGACTTTGATCCGACTAAGGCCTACAGGGCTTGTCAGTCAGCTCAGGGGCAGGGTAAGGGGGCCCTCCGCCTTAAGCCCACCTAGTACACTTAAGGACAAAACACTGCTGTGCTAGGTTCTTTGAAAAACATGTCAAATGCTTCACTCAAAACCTGCGATCATAGCCGTACATTGAGGTTTTGCAGCACAGAAAAATAAAATATAAACATTTACTCAATATTTCCTAGTTATGAGAGGCTTCAGCATAGATCAAGTCCTCCATAAATCAGAGGTGTTACGGTACACAGCACCAGTCTGTTTCATGTCATACTGGAATGTTGTTCTTAGAAACCTGGCCTGTTTGGTCAACTTTGCTGAAGGCCTATATATACATTAGCTAGTACCGTGTGAGTTGAAGCCTTTTGCTTTTGAAAATTCTAGCCCCATACAAGGCCACAGGGTTAGGAGGGCTTAAATATTGTTGTTTCTATCACACACACACACACACACACACACACACAAACACACATACACACACATACACACACACTACCAGTCAAACGTTTTAGAACACCTACTCATTCAAGGGTTTTTCTTTATTCTTTTTATTTTTTTTACAATTTTCTACATTGTAGAATAATAGTGAAGACATCAACACTATGAAATAACACATATGGAATCATGTAGTAACCAAAAAAGTGTTAAACAAATCAAACTATATTTTATATTTGAGATTCTTCAAATAGCCACCCTTTGCCTTGATGACAGCTTTGCACACTCTTGGCATTCTCTCAACCAGCTTCATGAGGTAGCCACCTGGAATGCATTTCAATTAACAGGTGTGCCTTCTTAAAATAATGTAGTTCCTTCTTAATGCGTTTGAGCATATCAGTTGTGTTGTGACAAGGTAGGGGGTATTCAGAAGATAGCCCTATTTGGTAAAAGACCAAGTCCATATTATGGCAAGAACAGCTCAAATAAGTAAAGAGAAACAACAGTCCATCATTACTTTAAGACATGATGGTCAGTCAATACGGAACATTTCAAGAACTTTGAAAGTTTCTTCAAGTGCAGTCGCAAAAACCATCAAGCGCTATGATGAAACTGTCTCTCATGAGGACCGCCATGATGAAACTGGCTCTCATGAGGACCGCCACAGGAATGGAAGACCCCGAGTTACCTCTGCTGCAGAGGATAAGTTCATTAGAGTTACCAGCCTCAGAGATTGCAGGCTAAATAAATGCTTCACAGAGTTCAAGTAACAGACTGTTCTCAACATGAACTGTTCAGAGGAGACTGTGAATCAGGCCTTCATGGTTGAATTGCTGCAAAGAAACTACTACTAAAGGACACCAATAAGAAGAAGAGACTTGCTTGGGCCAAGAAACAAGAGCAATGGACATTAGACCGGTGGAAATCTGTCCTTTGGTCTGGAGTCCAAATTTAAGATTTTTGGTTCCAACCGCCGTGTCTTTGTGAGACGCGGTGTGGGTGAACGGATAATCTCTGCATGTGTATTTCCCACCGAAAAGCATGGAGGTGTGGGGGTGCTTTGCTGGTAACACTTTCTGTGATTTTATTTAGAATTCAAGGCACACTTAACCAGCATGGCTACCACAGCATTCTGCATCGATACGCCATCCAATCTGGTTTGGGCTTAGTGGGTCTATCATTTGTTTTTCAACAGGACAATGACATAACACACCTCCAGGCTGTGTAAGGGCTAATTTTACCAAGAAGGAGAGTGATGGAGTGCTGCATCAGATGACCTGGCCTCCACAATCCCCACACCTCAACCAAATTCAGATCTTGGGATGAGTCGGACGGCGAGTGAAGGAAAAGCAGCCATCAAGTGCTCAGCATCTGTTGGAACTCCTTCAAGACTGTTGGAAAAGCATTCCAGGTGAATCTGGTTGAGAGAATGCCAAGAGTGTGCAAAGCTATTATCAAGGCAAAGGGTGGCTATTTGAAGAATCTCAAATATTAAATATATGTTGATGTTTTTTTAACACTATTTTGGTTACTACATGATTCCATATGTGTTATTTCATAGTTTTGATGGCTTCACTATTATTCTATAATGTAGAAAATAGTAAAAATAAAGAAAAACCCTTGAATGAGTAGGTGTTATAAAACTTTTGACCAGTAGTGTACAGTCGTGGTCAAATGTTTTGAGAATGATACAAGTAAGTATTGGTCTTCACAAAGTTCGCTGCTTCAGTGTTATGAGATATTTTTGTCAGATGTTACTATGGTATACTGAAGTATAATTGCAAGCATTCCATTAAGTGTTAAAGGCTTTTATTGACAATTACATTAAGTTTATGCAAATAGTCATTATTTGCAGTGTTGAATCTTCTTTTTCAAGACCTCTGCAATCAGCCCTGGCATGCTGTCAATTAACTTCTGGGCCACATCCTGACTGTTGGCAGCCCAGTCTTGCATAATCAATGCTTGGAGTTTGTCAAAATGTGTGTGTTTTTGTTTGTCCACCCGCCTCTTGAGGATTGACCACAAGTTCTCAATGGGATTAAGGTCTGGGGAGTTTCCTGGCCATGGACCCATAATGTCGATGTTTTGTTCCCCGAGCCACTTAGTTATCACTTTTGCCTTATGGCAAGGTGCTCCATCATGCTGGAAAAGGCAATGGTCGTCACCAAACTGTTCTTGGAAGGTTGGGAGAAGTTGCTCTCGGAGGATGTGTTGGTACCATTCTTTATTCATGTCTGTGTTCTTAGGCAAAATTGTGAGTGATCCCACTCCCTTGGCTGAGAAGCAACCCCACACATGAATGGTCTCAGGATGCTTTACTGTTGGCATGACACAGGACTGATGGTAGCGCTCACCTTGTCTTTTCCAGACAAGGTGTTTTCCAGATGCCCCAAACAATCGGATAGGGGATTTATCAAAGAAAATGACTTTACCCCAGTCCTCAGCAGTCCAATCCCTGTACCTTTTGCAGAATATCAGTCTGTCCCTGCTGTTTTTCCTGGGAGAGAAGTGGCTTCTTTGCTGCCCTTCTTGACACCAGGCCATCCTCCAAAAGTCTTCGCCTCACTGTGCGTGCAGATGCACTCACACCTGCCTGCTGCCATTCCTGAGCAAGCTCTGCACTGGTGGTGCCCCGATCCCACAGCTGAATCAACTTTAGGAGACTGTCCTGGCGCTTGCTGGACTTTCTTGGGTGCCCTGACGCCTTCTTCACAACAATTGAACCTCTCTCCTTGAAGTTCTTGATGATCCGATAAATGGTTGATTTAGGTGCAATCTTACTAGCAGCAATATCCTTGCCTGTGAAGCCCTTTTTGTGCAAAGCAATGATGACTGCATGTGTTTCCTTGCAGGTAACCATGGTTAACAGAGGAAGAACAATGATTTCAATCACCACCCTCCTTTTAAAGCTTCCAGTCTGTTATTCTAACTCAATCAGCATGACAGAGTGATCTCCAGCCTTGTCCTCGTCAACACTCACACCTGTATTAACGAGAGAATCACTGACATGACGGCAGCTGGTCCTTTTGTGGCAGGGCTGAAATGCAGTGGAAATGTTTTTTGGGGATTTAATTCATTTTCATGGCAAAGAGGGACTTTGCAAGTAATTTCAATTTATCTGCTCACTCTTCATGACATTCTGGAGTATATGCAAATTGCCATCATCAAAACTGAGGCAGCCGACTTTGTGAAAATTAGTATTTGTGTCATTCTCAAAACTTTTGACCACGACTGTACACACACACCAGACAGTGTTGCTAGACCAAACACACAGCCCTTGACCCAGATCCTCAGGTCCCAGTGAGCCTGGAGAGAGCCTTGTGTGTGTGTGTGAGGTATTTTTATCAGGTTTTGCCTCACCGTGAGGGAGGACTGGCTGGGCTTCTCCAATGGTAACCAAGTCAACCTGCAGTCTCTGACAACAACACAGTGACATTGTTGTCTCAGTCTGCATCCTCACAAATTGCCTCTAGAAAAGAGATTGTGGGGATTGCTTCTGACTGTACAGAATGTGAAGGTGGATTGGCATAGTAATCTGATCAGTTGTGAATAGATTATAAACACAAACGTATTGGACTGGATCAGGCATTGTCTTTTGAGAGCCTCCTCAATTAAAATGTCTCTCTCTCCCCCCTCCAGTAGAGAGGTCCAAACCCCAGCTGCAGGTGCGTAACTCGGGAGCCATCCGGCGGACTTCCTCCCTGGGTACCATCACTGGCCCCTACCTCACTGGCCAGTGGCCTCGCAACCACCATGTGCACTACCCCTCGTGCATGAAAGATAAATCAACTCAGGTAGGGGCCTCCTCACTTCCAGTCCCCCTACCCTACCCTTCATGTTTCACGCTTTGTTCGGTCCCCCTACAGAGATTAATGCATGTGGCATTTAATTCAACAAGAAAGAACTGACGATATTCCAGCTAGAAGAAACTAGATTTTTTGTTATCTCTGGTTTATTGATTGCTCTGGTTTGCTGATCTGCAGAGTTTGATCTGCAAAGCATGCTAGTTTTGAACTAGCACACTGAGGTGAAGGACAGGTAGGATCTTAATTTTACATACTGTGCCTTCGGAAAGTATTAACACCCCTTGACTTTTTCCACATTTTGTTAGGTTACAGACTTATTCAAACATTTATTAAATAGTTTGTTCCCCTCATCAATCTACACACTATTTTCAGGTCTCTCCAGAGATGTTAGATTGGGTTCAAGTCCGGGCTCTGGCTGGGCCACTCAAGGACATTCAGTCTGAGGTCCTGAGTGCTCTGGAGCAGGTTTTCATCAAGGATCTCTCTGTACTTGGCTCCGTTCATCTTTGCCTCGATCCTGCCGCTGAAAAACACCCCCACAGCATGATGCTGCCACCACCATGCGTCACCATAGGAATGGTGCCAGGTTTCCTCCAGACGTGATGATGCTTGGTATTCAGGCCAAAGCGTTAAATCTTGGTTTCATCAGACCAGAGAATCTTGTTTCTCATGGTCTGAGAGTCCTTTAGGTGCCTTTTGGCAATCTCCAAGTGGGCCGTCATGTGCCTTTTACTGAGGAATGGCTTCCATCTGGCCACTCTACCATAAAGGCCTGATTGGTGGAGTGCTGCAGAGATGGTTGTCCTTCTGGAAGGTTCTCCAATCTCCACAGAGGAACTCTAGAGCTATGTGAGAGTGACCATCAGGTTCTTGGTCACTTCCCTGACCAAGGCCCTTCTCCCCCGATTGCTTAGTTTGGCCGGGCAGCCAGCTCTAGGAAGAGTCTTGGTGGTTCCAAACCTCTTCCATTTAAGAATGATGGAGGCCACTGTGTTCTTGGGGACCTTCAATGCTGCAGAATTTTTTTGGTACCCTTCCCCAGATCTGTGCCTCGACACAATTATGTCTCGGCGCTCTACAGACAATTCCTTCGACCTTTGTTTGTGCTCTGACATGCACTGTCAACTGTGGGACCTTGTATAGACAGGTGTGTGCCTTTCCAAATCATGTCCAATCAATTGAATTTAATACTGGTGGACTCCAATCAAGTTGTAGAAACATTTTAAGGGTGATCAATGGAAAGAGGATGCACCTGAACTCAATTTAGAGTCTCATAGCAAAGGGTCTGAATACTTATGTAAATAAGGTATTTCTGTTTTTTATATTTTTATAAATGTGCCAACATTTCTATAAAAAACTGTTTTCTATTTTAGAATAAGGCTGTAACGTAACAAAATGTGGAAAAAGTCAAGGGGTCTGAATACTTTCCGAAGGCACTTTATATTGTCACAGCAAAATAATCCTGCAGCAACAGGATTTGAACATTTAGACCACAATGTTTATTAATCTATGGTTAGGCTATGAGCTTGCCGGAAATTTCGCAGCAACAAAAGTGATCAAATTAACATCACCGTAGGGAAGTGGGCTCTTTCAAGTTACTAGTGGCAGTCCAGTTTGTACAGTACTCAGTCACTGATTCACTTACCCACACAGATATGAATTAGCCTCTGTTGCCCTCTTTCACTGGTCTACACACCCTGTTTCCACCAGTCACTTTGACGTTTACCACCTACGCATCTGTGGGCCTGTCTAGCCTTACTATAGATTAACTAGCCTGGCTCTCTGTATTAACCTGCCTGACATTCTTTGTATTGACCAAGTAGGCCCTGGGCGTCATGGCAGCACATAGGTGTCATTGTGGAGAACATGTGAGCGCCTGTCTGTCTGTGTGACACACTGCTTCTGCTTGTCAGAGGAAGTCAACTGTTTGTACTGTACCACGTTGCTGCCAATCCAGCTGCGGCTGGAATTTTCCCTTCCTCCTCCTTGTCATTCTCCTCCTCCTCTTTCTCCTTCTTCCACTCCTCAACTTTTCCTCGTTCTATTCTGTAATTCTCACCCATTGGGTCTGTGACCTAGAATGTTCTCCTCCTCCCCCTTGTCTTCCTCCTCGACTTCCTGGTCCTATTCTGTACCGTGCTGTGACCTGCAACCCCCACACCATCCTTCCACGTTATGACAGACATGCCCAAACACATAGCACTAAGATTATGCCGAGAGCAAGAAGTATTTGTATTTATTATGGATCCCCATTAGTTGCTGCCAAGGCAGCAGCAACTCTTCCTGGGGTCCAGCAAATTTAAGGCAGTTATACATTTTAAAAGCATTACAATACATTCATAACAGATTTCACAACATATTAAGTTTGTGCCCTCAGGCCTCTACTCTACTACCACATATCTATAACACAAAATCCATGTGTGTATAGTGCGTATGTTATTGTGTGTTTGTATGCATGTGTCTATGTTTGTGTTGCTTCACAGTCCCCGCTGTTCCATAGGGTGTATTTGTATCTGTTTTTAAATCTAATTTTACTGCTGGCATGAGTTACTTGATGTGGAATAGAGTTCCATGTAGTCATGGCTCTATGTAGTACTGTGCGCCTCCCATAATCTGTTCTTGACTTGGGGACTGTGAAGAGACCTCTGATGGCATGTCTTGTGGGGTATGAATCGGTTCATTCAACATGTCAATACCTCTCATATACAAGTAGTGATGAAGTCAATCTCTCCTCCACTTTGAGCCAGGAAAGATTGACATGCATATTATTAATGTTAGCTCTCTGTGTACATCCAAGGGCCAGCCGTGATGCCCTGTTCTGAGCCAATTGCAATTTTCTTAAGTCCCTCTTTGTGGCACCTGACCACACGACTAAACAGTAGTCCAGGTGCGACAAAACTAGGGCCTGTAGGACCTGCCTTGTTGATAGTGCTGTTAAGAATGCAGAGCTGCACTTTATTATAGACAGACTTCTCCCCATCCTAGCTACTGTTGTATCAATATATTTTGACCATGACAGATTACAATCCAGGGTTACTACAACATTTACATTTACATTTACATTTACGTCATTTAGCAGACGCTCTTATCCAAAGCAGTTTAGTCTCCTCAAATTAATCAATTACCATATTATTCATTACAAGATTTAGTTGAGGTTTAGGGTTTAGTGAATAATTTGTCCCAAATACAATGTTTTTAGTTTTTGAAATATTTAGCACTAACTTATTCCTTGCCACCCATTCTGAAACTAACTGCAGCTCTTTGTTAAGTGTTGCTGTCATTTCAGTCACTGTGGTAGCTGACGCGTATAGTGTTGTCATCCGCATACATAGACACACTGCCAGTGGCATGTCGTTAGTAAAGATTGAAAAAAGTAAGGGGCCTAGACAGCTGCCCTGGGGAATTCCTTATTCTACATGGAAATTGTTATAGAACACCCTCTGTGTTCTGTTAGACAGGTAATAGACTATGATCGACAATGTCCAAAGCCGCACTGAAGTCTAACAAAACAGCCTCCACAATCTTTTTATCATCAATTTCTCTCAGCCAATCATCAGTCATTTGTGTCAAGTGCTGTGCTTGTTGAATGTCCTTCCCTATAAGCGTGAGTCTGTTGTCAATGGATCTGGTCAAACACCATTTTTTCCAAAAGTTTACAAATGTTTGGTAACAGGCTGATTGGTCGGCTATTTGAGCCAGTAAAGGGGGCTTTATTATCAGGTAGGGGAATAACTTTTGCTTCCCTCCAGGCCTGAGGGCAGACACTTTCTAGTAGGCTTAAATTGAAGATATTGCAAATAGGATTGCTCAGTAATTTTCCATCCAAGTTGTCACACCCCAGTGGCTTGTCATTGTTGATAGACAACAATAATTTTTTCACCTCTTCCACACTTACTTTACGGAATTCAAAATTACAATGCTTGTCTTTCATAATTTGGTCAGATATACTTGGATGTGTAGTGTCAGCGTTTGTTGCTGGCAGGTCATGCCTAAGTTTTCTAATCTTGCCAATGAAAAAATCATTAAAGTACTTGGCAATATCAGTGGGTTTTATTATGAATGAGCCATCTGATTCAATGCATGATGGAGCAGCGTTTGCCTTTTTGTCCAAAATTTAATTTAAGGTGCTCCAAAGCTTTTTACTATCATTCTTTGTACAGCCAGACCTATTTGCTATTTATTTTGCTTCATCCCTCTCAACCATACAGTTTTTCAATTCCTCATCAATCCACAGGGATTTAACAGTTTTTACAGTCATTTTCTTAATGTTAGTGCAGGGTGAGCTGCACACAGTGGACTTCCTGCTAGGGCACACCACCTCAGTGCTAACAGTATAACTCTGGTTCATAGGCATATGATTACTGCATACAATAGCTGTAGGATCAGCAGAGGCATTCAGGGAAGTAAGAGGGACATAAATTAGGTTACTTACATTGTGTCTTCCAATGCCCCTGGGATAATGTATATTTGCTGAAGCATTAGGACTCAGCGACACAATGGTAGGGATTAAATGAGCTGGTCTTGGGTCATTGATAAGTCAGTGTCTCAATGCAGCCTTATAATGCTGTGAAAGGATCCTGGAACCCAAATGATTTGGGTGGATCCCATCCTCCTTATAATACAAGCTTTGTTTCCAGAAGGTATAAAATGGTCAATAAATGTTACACCCACAGAGCTGCAATAGTCTTGTAGTCAGTTATGGAGGGCTAAAAGTCTGCTGAACCGTTAAATTCCACGATTTAGGGAGGGCAGAAGGCCAGATATTAGGGGGCATTTGTTGGTGTCAAGTAGTGACCCAATCAGTTCTTTAAAATCCATCTTTAGCTGTTCCGAGCTGCCCTTCATAATGTCATTCGACCTCACATGAACCATGACAGTATCAGCCCCCGATGACCTCCTACATCCTGTTTTTACTGCTCGGCAACCAGGGCCTAATAACCTCCTCAGCCCATCCAAACGCCATATTGCTAGATCATCTCAAAAACCATATTACTGCGGAGTCAACCTGACAGCCGGTTTACTGTATGAATCAACCTGACAGCCGGTTTACTGTATGAATCAACCTGACAGCCGGTTTACTGTATGAATCAACCTGACAGCCGGTTTACTGTATGAATCAACCTGACAGCCGGTTTACTGAATGAATCAACCTGACAGCCGGTTTACTGTATGAATCAACCTGACAGCCGGTTTAACTGTATGAATCAACCTGACAGCCGTTTACTGTATGAATCAACCTGACAGCCGGTTACTGAATGAATCAACCTGACAGCCGGTTTACTGTATGAATCAACCTGACAGCCGGTTTACTGTATGAATCAACCTGACAGCCGGTTTACTGTATGAATCAACCTGACAGCCGGTTTACTGTATGAAGGAGGTCAGAGATCTGGCCGTGTGGTGCCAGGACAACAACCTCTCCCTCAACGTGACCAAGACAAAGGAGATGATTGTGGACTACAGGAAAAAAAAGAGGACTGAGCACGCCCCCATTCTCATCGACGGGGCTGTAGTGGAACAGGTTGAGAGCTTCAAGTTCCTTGGTGTCCACATCACCAACGAACTATCATGGTCCAAACACACCAAGACAGTCGTGAAGAGGGCACGACAAAGCCTATTCCCCCTCAGGAGACTAAAAAGATTTGGCATGGGTCCTCAGATCCTCAAAAAATTCTACAGCTGCACCATCGAGAGCATCCTGACTGGTTGCATCACCGCCTGGTATGGCAACTGCTTGGCCTCTGACCGCAAGGCACTACAGAGGGTAGTGCGTACGGCCCAGTACATCACTGGGGCAAAGCTCCCTGCCATCCAGGACCTCTATACCAGGCGGTGTCAGAGGAAGGCCCCTCAAAATTGTCAAAGACTCCAGCCACCATAGTCATAGACTGTTCTCTCTGCTACCGCACGGCAAGCGGTACCGGAGTGCCAAGTCTAGGTCCAAAAGACTTCTCAACAGCTTCTACCCCCAAGCCATAAGACTCCTGAACAGCTAATCATGGCTACCCGGACTATTTGCACTGCCCCCCCACCCCATCCTTTTTACGCTGCTGCTACTCTGTTAAGTATTTATGCATAGTCACTTTAACTCTACCCACATGTACATATTACCTCAACTACCTCAACTAGCCGGTGCCCCCGCACATTGACTATGCAACGGTACCCCCCTGTATATATAGCCTCCCTACTGTCACTTTATTTACTGTATATATAGCCCTCCCTACTGTCACTTTATTTTACTTCTGCTCTTTTTTTCTCACACCTTTTTTGTTGTTGTTTTTATTCTTACTTTTTTGTTTAAAATAAATGCACTGTTGGTTAAGGGCTGTAAGTAAGCATTTCACTGTAATGTCTGCACCGTTGTATTCGGCGCATGTGACCAATAAAATGTGATTTGATTTGATTTGAATCAACCCGTCCATTCCACTTTTCCTTCACTTCAGCTCTTTGTCCACATGCATGGAAAAATCTGCCATATCCACATGTGCAGTACGGACCTGCTCTCGTCCTCGGCATCGGATCAAGGTTTATCCATGGCTTGTGCCATAAAGACACCTTTCATATGCCGAACAGTTCGAACCCTAACCAACGGAAAACCTGGAATTTCCCTTTGGAGTGTTTGTTCATTGACAGAACACATGCAGGGCAGGGATCGGTATGCGGTCACACATGGTCCATTGTAAGAGGAGAGGATATGGTGTGTCTGTGTGCGTGTGTGTGTGTAACTCTCTCTGTGTGTGTACTCCCCCTCCTCTTCTCTTTAAAGAGGAGATGAAAAAGGCTATGTTCAAAGCTTTCTCTCTCTATTTCCTGCCTGGCTTGGTGATGGTGTTGAACTGATTACAGAAGACAACCTTTGAAATGTGAAGTCTCCACAGATTAATAGAATAACTCAGCTCACCATTTTACAATATTTACTACCGCTTCCAGCTACAGCACTGGCCTAGCACTTCCATTGGCCCTTACAGTGTATATTCTCGGATGCTTTGATGAAGGCATAACTGCCAAAAATAAAAAGGTGAAATGAGGTGACGTATTCTACACAAAAAAACAAACCATTTTGGAGAGCCGCCATTTCCCAATGTTCTTGAACTTGGGATTTCATTCTGTCTCTCTCGCTCTGTCTTTCTTTATTCCCTCTCTCTTTCTTTATTCACTCTCTTTGCCCTCTTGAAAGCAGACACACAGAGCTAGGACTATTCTTTGTCACAGCACACACTCTATTTAATCCCTGTCTGATGCCTGCCATGTGTTGAAAGAGCCTGGCAATATACAAGATGGCACTGACAGACATGGTCGCCCTGTTTCTAGCTCCTAGCCAACTTTGCAGTATATATGTTTTTTGTGTTATTTCTTACATTATTAGCTCCGAACATTTCTTGCATTATTACATAACATCCGAAAATAACTTTGGGATATTACGTCCACAGTCACTCATCAGAAATTCGACTTCCCTGCCTCGAGGCAGTTCCATTCATCCCGGGGGCTGCTCCAAGACACCGTCGCCTGAGAAGAGGAGTGGGCTCCTAGTCAGACTCAGGATGCGTGCATACCATCCACCGCTTCCAAGTATATTACTCGCTAACGTTCAGTCCCTGGACAATAGACAAGCTCAGGGCGAGGATCTCATTCCAGCGAGACATCAGGGACTGCAACATACTCTGTTTTATGGAATCATGGCTCTCTCCGGATATACTGTCCCCATTCATTCAGCCAGCAGGGTTCTTCACGCATTGCGTGGACAGGAAGAAATAACTCTCTGGGAAAAAGAAAGGTGGAGTTGTATCTTTCATAATTAGCTACTCATGGTGTGATTGTGGTAACGTACAGGAACTCAAGTCCTTTTGTTCTCCCGATCTGAAATACCTCACCATCAAATGCCGACCGCATTACCTCCTGAGAGGTAATCATCGTCACAGCCATGTATATTCCCCCCAAGCCTACACCGTGACGTCTCTCAAGGAACTACACTGAAATTTGTGCAAACTGGAAACTGCATATCCTGAGGCTGCATTTATTGTAGCTGGGTACTTTATTAAGGCAAACGCTACCGAAGTTCTACACTACATGACCAAAAGTATGTGGACACTTGCTCGTCGAACATTTCATTCCAAAATCATTGACATTAATATGGAGTTGGTCCCCCCTTTGCTGCTATAACAGCCTCCAATCGTCTGGGAAGGCTTTCCACTAGATGTTGGAACATTGATGCGGGGACTTGCTTCCATTCAGCCACGAGCATTAGTGAGGTCGGGCACTGATGTTGGGCGATTAGGCCTGGCTCGCAGTCAGTGTTCCAATTCATCCCAAAGGTGTTAGATGGGGTTGAGGTCAGGGCTCTGTGCAGGCCAGTCAAGTTATTCCACACCGATCTCGACAAACCATTTCTGTATGGACCTCGCTTTGTGCACAGGAGCATTGTCATACTGAAACAGGAAAGGGCCTTCCCCAAACTGTTGCCACAAAGTTGGAAGCACAGAATCATCTAGAATGTCATTGTATGCTGTAACGTTAAGATTTCCCTTCACTGGAACTAAGGGGCCTAGCCCGAACCATGAAAAACCTCCCCAGATAATTATTGCTCCTCCACCAAACTTTACAGTTGGTACTATGCATTTGGGCAGGTAGCGTTGTCCTGGCATCCGCCAAACCCAGATTTGTCCAGATGGTGAAGCGTGATTCATCACTCGAGAACGTGTTTCCACTGCTCCAGAGTCCAATGGCGGCGAGCTTTACACCACTCCAGCATACGCTTGGCATAGTGCTTGGTGATCTTAGGCTTGTGTGCAGCTGCTCGGCCATGGAAACCCATTTCATGAAGCTCCCGACGAACAGTTATTGTGCTGACGTTGCTTCAAGAGGCAGTTTGAAACTCAGTAGTGAGTGTGGCCACTGAGGACAGACGATTTTTACGTGCTATGCACATCAGCATTCGGCGGTCCCGATCTGTGAGCTTGTGTGGCCTACCACTTTGCGGCTAAGCCGTTGTTGCTCCTAGACGTTTCTACTTCACAATAACAGCAGTTGACCGGGGCAGCTATAGCAGGGCAGAAATTTGATGAACTGACTTGATAGAAAAGTGGCATCCTATGACGGTACCACATTAAAAGTCACTGAGCTCTTCAGTAAGGCCATTCTACTGCCAATGTTTGGCTATGGAGATTGCATGGCTGTGTGCTCGATTTTATACACCTGTCAGCAAAGGGTGTGGCTGAAATAGCCGAATCCACTAATTTGAAGGAGTGTCCACCTACTTTTGGATATATAGTGTATCAACAGATCTCCTGTGCTACTCGCGCATCGAGCACTCTTGACCATTGCTACTCCCCCTTCCAAGACGGCTACAAGGCCCTCCCCTGCCCTCCCTTAGGCAAATCAGATCACACCTCAATTTTGCTCCTCCCCTCCTGTAGGCAGAAACTTAAACAGAAAGTACCCGTGGTAAGGACTGTTCAACATTGGTCTGACCAATCGGAATCTATGCTTCAAGATTGTTTTGATCACGCGTACTAGGAAATAGTCTGACTTGCCTCTGAGAATAGTATCAACGTATACATTGACTCAGTGACTGAGTTCATCAGGAAGTGCATGAAGGATGTTGTTCCCACTGTGATGATTAGAACTTATCCAAACAAAAAAAACGTGGATTCGTGCAAACCTGAAAGCGTGAACCACCGCATTTAACCACGGCAATGTGACTGGGAACATGGACATGAGACGTATGTGGCAGGGACTCCAGACAATCACGGATTATAAAAGGAAAGCCAGCCATGTCGCGGACACCAACGTCTTGCTCCCGGACACGCTAAACACATTCTTTGCCCGCTTCGAGGAAAACACTGAGCCGCCGACGCGGGCCACCGCCGCTCACGAGGACTGTGAGCTCTCATTCTCCGTGGCATTGTAAGACATTTAAGCGTTTTAACCGTCGCAAGGCTGCCGGCCCAGATGGCATCCCAAGCCGCATCCTCAGAGCATGTGCAGTCCAGCTGTCTGGAGTGTTTACAGACATATTCTATCTCTCCATATCTCAGTCTGTTGTCCCCACTTGCTTCAATATGTCCACCATTGTTCCTGTACCCAAGAAAGCGAAGGTAATTGAAATAAATGACTATCTTTCCGTAGAAGTCACTTCTGTTATCATGAAGTGCTTTGAGGGGCTAGTTAAGGATCATATCACCTCCACCTGTCCTCGACACCCTAGACCAGGATTCCCCAACTGTTGGCCCGTGGATGGTTTTATTTGGCCCCCCAAGTTTTATGAGCAAAAAATAAATACAATTCCCACTCTATGTATGCATGTACAGTTGAAGTCGGAAGTTTACATACACTTAGGTTGGAGTCATTAAAACTCGTTTTTCAACCACTCCACAAATTTAGTTTTAACAAACTATAGTTTTGGCAAGTCGGTTAGAACATCTACTTTGTGCATGACACAAGTAATTCTTCCAACAATTGTTTACAGAAAGATTATTTCACTTATAATTCACTGTATCACAATTCCAGTGGGTCAGAAGTTTACATACACTAAGTTGACGGTGCCTTTAAACAGCTTGGTAAATTCCAGAAAATTATGTCATGGCTTTAGAAGCTTCTGATAGGCTAATTGACATAATTTGAGTCAATTGGAGGTGTACTTGTGGATGTATTTCAAGGCCTACCTTCAAACTCGTGCCTCTTTGCTTGACATCATGGGAAAATCCAAAGAAATCAGCCAAGACCTCAGAAAAAGAATTGTAGACCTCCGCAAGTCTGGTTCATCTTTGGGAGCAATTTCCAAACGTTCATCTGTACAAACAATAGTACGCAAGTATAAACACCATGGGACCACGCAGCCGTGATAACGCTCAGGAAGGAGACGCGTTCTGTCTCCTAGAGATGAACGTACTTTGATGCGAAAAGTGCAAATCAATCCCAGAACAACTGCAAAGGACCTTGTGAAGATGCTGGAGGAAACAAGTACAAAAGTATCTATATCCACAGTAAAACGAGTCCTATATCGACATAACCTGAAAGGCCACTCAGCAAGGAAGAAGCCACTGCTCCAAAACCGCCATAAAAAAACCAGACTACGGTTTGCAACTACACATGGGGTAGAGCACGGCGCTTGTAATGCCAAGGTAGTGGGTTCGATCCCCGGGACCACCCATACACAAAAAAAAATGTATGCACGCATGACTGTAAGTCGCTTTGGATAAAAGCGTCTGCTAAATGGCATATTATTATTATTATTGAAGATCGTACTTTTTGGAGAAATGTCCTCTGGTCTGATGAAACAAAAATAGAACTATTTGGCCATAATGACCATCGTTATGTTTGAAGTATCTATATCCACAGTAAAACTAGTCCTATATCGACATAACCTGAAAGGCCGCTCAGCAAGGAAGAAGCCACTGCTCCAAAACCGCCATAAAAATGCCAAGACTATGGTTTGCAACTGCACATGGGGACAAAGATCGTACTTTTTGGAGAAATGTCCTCTGGTCTGATGAAACAAAAATAGAACTGTTTGGCCATAATGACCATCGTTATGTTTGAAGGAAAAAGGGGGTTGCTTGCAAGCCGAAGAACACCATCCCAACCGTGAAGCACGGGGGTGGCAGCATCATGCTGTGGGGGTGCTTTGCTGCAGGAGGGACTGGTGCACTTCACAAAATAGATGGCATCATGAGGAAGGAAAATTATGTGGATATATTGAAGCAACATCTCAAGACATCAGTCAGGAAGTTAAAGCTTGGTCACAAATGGGTCTTCTAAATGGACAATGACCCCAAGCATACTTCCAAAGTTGTGGCAAAATGGCTTAAGGACAACAAAGTCAAGGTATTGGAGTTGCCATCACAAAGCCCTGACCTCAGTTACACCAGTTCTGTCAGGAGGAATGGGCCAAAATTCACCCAAATTATTGTGGGAAGCTTATGGAAGGCTACTTGAAACGTTTGACCCAAGTTAAACAATTTAAAGACAATGCTACCAAATACTAATTGAATGTATGTAAACTTCTGACCCACTGAGAATGTGATGAAATAAATGAAAGCTGAAATAAATAATTCTCTCTACTATTATTCTGACATCTTAAAATAAAGTGGTGATCCTAACTGACCTAAGACAGGGAATTTATACTAGGATTAAATGTCAGGAATTGTGATAAACTGAGTTTAAATGTATTTGGCTAAGGTGTATGTAAACTTCCGACTTCAACTGTATGTATGTATGTATGTATGTACACTACCGTTCAAAAGTTTGGGGTCACTTAGAAATGTCCTTGATTTCGAAAGAAAAGCTAATTTTTTGTCCATTAAAATAACATCAAATTGTTCAGAAATACAGTGTAGACATTGTTAATGTTGTAAATGGCTATTGTAGCTGGAAACTATTGATTTTTAATGGAATATCTACATAGGCGTACAGAGGCCCATTATCAGCAACCATCAGTCCTGTGTTCCAATGACACGTTGTGTTTGCTAATCCAAGTTTATCATTTTAAAAGGCTAATTGATCATTAGAAAACCCTTTTGCAATTATGTTAGCACAGCTGAAAACTGTTGTGCTGATTTAAAGAAGTAATACAACTGGCCTTCTTGAGACTAGTTGAGTATCTGGAGCATCAGCAATTGTGGGTTCGATTACAGGCTCAAAATGGCCAGAAACAAAGAACTTTCTTCTGAAACTCATCAGTCTATTCTTGTTCTGAGAAATGAAGGCTATTCCATGCGAGAAATTGCCAAGAAACTGAAGATCTCGTACAACGCTGTGTACTACTCCCTTCACAGAACAGCGCAAACTGGCTCTAACCAGAATAGAAAGAGGAGTGGGAGTCCCCGGTGCACAACTAAGCAAGAGGACAAATATATTAGAGTGTCTAGTTTGAGAAACAGATGCCTCACAGGTCCTCAACTGGCAGCTTCATTAAATAGTACCTGCAAAACACCAGTCTCAACGTCAACAGTGAAGAGGCGACTCTACTCTTGTCTCTATTATAAGTGGGAATATTTGAGAACAAAGATTTCCAAAAATAAAAATTACTTAGCTGATATCCTGGTGTTTTTACAGTCTTTTATGACCAACAATAATACAAAATAATAGTAATATATAACTTTTTTTGGGTGAATTTTCTTTGTTGCACCTGAGCTCAATTTCGAGTCTCATAGCGAAGGGTCTGAATACTTATGTAAATAAGTTATTTCTGTTTTTTTATTTTTAACACATTTCTAAACATTTCTAAAAACCTGTTTGTGCATTCTCATTATGGGGTATTGTGTGTAGATTGATGTAAAAAATAAATAATTTAATCCATTTAAGAATAAGGCTGTAACGTAACTGTGGAAAAAGTAAAGGGGTCTGAATACTTTCCCAATGCACTAGTCAAGGCTCTTCCTATATAAGTACTGCTGTACACACCTTTTCTATTCATATACTGTTCATTCTGTCTATTTCACACCATTTTATATATATTCCAGACTCTGACATTGCTCGTTCTGATATTTCTTATTTCTTTCTTTTTATTTTGGGGATTTGTGTGTGGTGTTAGGTATTACTGCACTGTTGGAGCTAGAAACATAAGCATTTCGCTGCACCCGCGATAACATATGTGTATGCGACCAGTAACGTTTGAATTACTTTCTTCTCATTTCCTTTTACGCTTGTCTTCCTCCTCCTCTTGTCTTTCTCCTTTTTTCTCTCAGCTCCAGTAGCAGACCAGGGGTAACCAAGGGATGAAACGAGGGCTTCTCTCTCTCTCTCGTTGATATAATTTATTAATCACAGTAGCTGAGCCTGCAGCATTTAGAGGCCTCTCCTTGTTCTATTATGCACTGACACACTCAACAGAGCACTTGTGGCTAGTTGAAGCTCAATTTTAGATATTGTTATACATGATGTATGCACAGCAAGTCATTCATGTCAAACCTACCACTACTGCATGGTAGAGAGACCAAGTTCACATAACTGTCTGAGGTTTTGTGTCGCAATGGCGAATCTGAAATGGCATAGTAGTGCACTGCTTAGGCTGGGGCCAAGGCCCCCTCTCCCAGGCTGCAGTCTTTTATTCTCTACCATGATGATGTTGATGATTGACATGGCGAATGAGAATATGAGGTTGGTAATTAGATAATGATATTATTGGTTGTTTCCTTGTTGTTTTCAGACACCTGGATGTTGGAGTGAAGAAACAGGAGAGAAGAAGAGCAGACACCAGCGCTCGGCATCTTGGGGCAGCGCCGACCAGCTCAAAGAGGTAAACACTCACTCACGCTTGCGTATGCATGCACGACACACACACACCACACTAATACATGTCATAAGAAACCTTAACCATTCGTAAGAAACTTGCAGCACTTTCCTAATGACCATTGGACCGAGGTGTTCTCAAATCAACAATGACAACATACTGTACAGTAGGCCTCCATGTAAAACTCATTCAATCTGTTATCCTAGCACACTGTGCGTCAGTATCTTGCTGTCATCCTCCTTTAACCCAGACCTAGATTCTGCCAGGTTGAGATGACTTGAAGTTGACATGACAACTAGAATGTCATCAGTCAATGGGAAACTGCCTACGATCTGCCATGACATGCCATCTCGCTCTCGCTCTCGCTCCACACGGTGCCACCTTCTATATATAACGTCCTGAATGACTTCTGCATGCTCAGGGCTTGTCTGTTCTAATGCTGGGTGTCAGAGCCGTAGCGTAGTACCGGGCCGGGCGGTCGTTGTCTTATCATCCCCTCTCCGCTCCACCCTGGTGCTATATGGCCACAGGCAGGGAGGAGGCAAATAATACTATCTATCTCACCCTCAACTAACCAGAAACTTCTCCTCACAGCAACCAACCGCCAGCCCAGCCATAACCCAACAGGCACTTTATTGACAGGAAAGACAGCCAGGCAGACCTGAGATTCCTCTATCTTTCAGCCTCTCTATTTCTCTGCCCTTTCTGTCTCTGTCTATCGCCCTGTCTCCTCTCTCTCTCTCTCTCTCTCTCTCTCTCTCTCTCTCTCTCTACAATTCATAGGGCTTTATTGGCATGGTAAACATATGTTTACATTGCCAAAGCAAGTGAAATATACAATCCAAAATGAACAGTAAACATTACACTCACAAAAGTTTCAAAGGAATAGAGACATTTCAAATGTCATATGGCTATGTACAGTGTTATAACAATGTGCAAATAGTTTAAGTACAAAAGGGAAAATGAATAAACATAAATATGGGTTGTATTTACAATGGTGTTTGTACTTCACTGGTTGCCCTTTTCTGGAGGCAACAGGTCACAAATCTTGCTGCTGTGATGGCACACTGTGGTATTTCACCCAGTAGATATGGGAGTTTATCAAAATTGGATTTGTTTTCGAATTCTTTGTGGGTCTGTGTAATCTGAGGGAAATATGTGTTTCTAATATGGTCAAACATTTGGCAGGAGGTTAGGAAGTGCAGCTCAGTTTCCACCTCATTTTGTGGGCAGTATGCATAGCCTGTCTTCTCTTGAGAGCCAGGTCTGCCTAGAGCGGCCTCTCTCAATAGCAAGGCTATGCTCACTGAGTCTGTACAGTCGTGGTCGAAAGTTTTGAGAATGACACAAGTATTGGTCTTCACAAAGTTCGCTGCATCAGTGTTATGATATATTTTTGTCAGATGTTACTATGGTGTAATTAAAAGCATTCCATAAGTGTCAAAGGCTTTTATTGACAATTACATTAAGTTTATGCAAAGAGTCAATATTTGCAGTGTTGACCCTTCTTTTTCAAGACCTCTGCAATCCGCCCTGGCATGCTATCAATTAACTTCTGGGCCACATCCCGACTAATGGCAGCCCATTCTTGCATAATCAATGCTTGGAGTTTGTCAGAATTTGTAGGTTTTTGTTTGTCCACCCGCCTCTTGAGGATTGACCACAAGTTCTCAATGGGATTAAGGTCTGGGGAGTTTCCTGGCCATGGACCCATAATGTCGATGTTTTGTTCCCCGAGCCACTTAGTTATCACTTTTGCCTGATGGCAAGGTGCTCCATCATGCTGGAAAAGGCATTGTTCATCACCAAACTGTTCTTGGATGGTTGGGAGAAGTTGCTCTCGGAGGATGTGTTGGAACCATTCCTTATTCATGGCTGTGTTCTTAAGCAAAATTGTGAGTGATCCCACTCCCTTGGCTGAGAAGCAACCCCACACATGAATGGTCTCAGGATGCTTTACTGTTGGCATGACACAGGACTGATGGTAGCGCTCACCTTGTCTTCTCCGGACAAGGTGTTTTCCGGATGCCCCAAACAATCGGAAAGGGGATTCATCAGAGAAAATGACTTTACCCCAGTCCTCAGCAGTCCAATCCCTGTACCTTTTGCAGAATATCAGTCTGTCCCTGATGTTTTTCCTGGAGAGAAGTGGCTTCCTCCAAAAGTCTTCGCCTCACTGTGTGTGCAGATGCACTCACACCTGCCTGCTGCCATTCCTGAGCAAGCTCTACACTGGTGGTGCCCCGATCCCGCAGCTGAATCAACTTTAGGAGACGGTCCTGGCGCTATCTGGACTTTCTTGGGCGCCCTGAAGCCTTCTTCACAACAATTGAACTTCTCTCCTTGAAGTTCTTGATGATCCGATAAATGGTTGATTTAGGTGCAATCTTACTAGCAGCAATATCCTTGCCTGTGAAGCACTTTTTGTGCAAAGCAATGATGATGGCAAGTGTTTCCTTGCAGGTAACCATGGTTAACAGAGGAAGAACAATGATTTCAAGCACCACCCTCCTTTTAAAGCTTCCAGTCTGTTATTCTAACTAAATCAGCATGACAGAGTGATCTCCAGCCTTGTCCTCATCAACACTCTCACCTGTGTTAACAAGAGAATCACTGACATGTGTCAGTAGGTGCTGTAGGTGGGTGTGGTGCTGGAATCAGGCGCAGGACGCAGAAAATAAGTCCAAAAGACTTTAGTGAAGGCACAAACAAATACACGAGCCAAAAGCCCTGAGGCGAGAAACTCCGCACGCAGGCGTAAACAAAAGGGCGCACTAAACATGTGCGATAAATACTCTCCTTACAGAGGAGGAAAGCTACAAAGAGCAAACGGTATACTGTAGAGCACAAGCACGACAGCGAAACAATCACACACAACACCTGACTAACACAACGAGAACTTATAGGACACTAATGACGCTAAACGACAACAGGTGTACAATTCCAGACAAGACCAAACGAACATAGAAACATACAACGGTGGCAGCTAGTATTCCGGAGACGACGAACGCCGAAGCCTGCCCGAGCAAGGAAGAGAGGCAGCCTCGGCCGAAACCGTGACAGTACCCCCCCCCTTGACGCGCGGCTCCAGACGTGTGCCGACTCCGGCCTCGGGGACGACCAGGAGGACGCGGAGCAGGGCGCGTCGGGTGACTACGATGGAATTCTGTCAGGAGAGACGGGTCCAAAATGTCTCTCCTCGGCACCCAGCACCGTTCCTCCGGGCCGTACCCCTCCCACTCCACCAGATATTGGAGACCCCCCATCCGACGTCTCGAATCCAAGATGGACCGCACGGAGTACGCCGGTGCCCCCTCGATGTCCAATGGGGGCGGAGGAGTCTCCTTGATCTCATTTTCCTGGAGTGGGCCAGCTACCACCGGCCTGAGAAGAGACACATGGAACGAGGGGTTAATACTTTTATACTCAACAGGTAGTTGTAATCTGTAACACACCTCGTTCAATCTTCTCAGGACTTTAAACGGCCCCACAAACCGCCGACCCAGTTTCCGACAGGGCAGGCGGAGGGCAGGTTTCTGGTAGAGAGCCAGACTCGATCACCAGGTGCGTACACCGGTCCCTCACTGCGGTGGAGATCGGCGCTTGCCTTTTGATGACGGAGGGCCCGCTGCAGGTGGACGTGTGCAGCGTTCCACGTCTCCTCCGAGCGCCGCACCCACTCATCCACCGCAGGAGCCTCGATCTGGCTCTGCTGCCAAGGTGCCAGAACCAGCTGGTAACCTAACACACATTGGAAAGGGGTTAGGTTAGTGGCGGAATGGCGTAGGGAATTCTGGGCCATTTCTGCCCAGTGAACGTACCGTGCCCACTCCTCCGGCCGGTCCTGGCAGTATGATCTAAGAAACCTACCCACATCCTGGTTCACACGTTCCACCTGCCCATTACTCTCCGGATGGTAACCCGAGGTGAGGCTCACCGAGACCCCCAACCGCTCCATAAAGGCTCTCCAGACTCTGGAGGTAAATTGGGGACCTCGATCAGACACAATATCCTCGGGTACCCCGTAGTGCCGGAAAACATGGGTGAATAGCGCTTCGGCGGTCTGTAGGGCAGTAGGAAGGCCCGGCATAGGGAGCAAACGACAGGCCTTAGAGAACCGGTCCACAACGACCAGTATAGTAGTATTCCCCTGTGAGGGAGGAAGGTCAGTGATGAAGTCCACCGAGAGGTGAGACCATGGTCGTTGTGGAACGGGCAGGGGTAGTAACTTACCCCTAGGCAGATGTCTAGGCGCCTTACACTGGGCGCACACCGAGCAGGAGGAGACATAAACCCTCACATCCCTCGCCAACGTGGGCCACCAGTACTTAGCACTAAGGCAGTGCACTGTCCGGCCGATACCAGGATGTCCAGAGGAGGGTGACGTGTGAGCCCAATAGATCAATCGATCCCGAACCTCGAGCGGAACGTACTTCCGACCCTCCGGGCATTGAGGTGGACTAGGGTCGGTGCGCAACGCCCGCTCGAGTTCAGCATCGACCTCCCACACTACCGGTGCCACCAGACAAGACTCCGGCAGTATGGGAGTGGGCTCCACGGACCTCTCCTCCGTGTCATACCGCCGAGACAGTGCGTCTGCCTTACCGTTCTGTGACCCAGGGATGTACGTGATCTTAAATACGAACCGGGTCAAAAACATATTCCACCGCGCCTGGCGAGGGTTCAGTCTCCTAGCTGCCCGGATGTACTCCAGGTTACGGTGGTCCGTCAAAATGAGGAAAGGGTGTTGAGCCCCCTCAAGCCAGTGCCTCCACACCTTTAGGGCCTGTACCACGGCTAACAGCTCCCTGTCCCCTACGTCATAATTTCGCTCCGCCGGACTGAGCTTCTTGGAATAAAAAGCACAGGGGCGGAGTTTAGGTGGCGTGCCGGACCGTTGCGAAAGCACGGCTCCTATACCGGCCTCTGACGCGTCCACCTCTACCTGAAATGGTAAAGAGGGATCCGGATGCGCCAGCACCGGAGCCGAGGTAAACAGGTCCTTCAGCCTCCCAAACGCCCTGTCCGCCTCGGCTGACCACTGCAAACGCACCGGACCCCCCTTCAAAAGAGACGTTATGGGAGCTGCCACCTGTCCAAAACCCCGGATAAACCTCCGGTAGTAATTCGCAAACCCCAAAAACTGCTGCACCTCCTTCACAGTGGTTGGCGTTTGCCAATTACGCACGGCTGACACCCGGTCTACCTCCATCTTCACCCCTGACGCAGACAACTGATAACCCAAAAAGGAGACCGACTCCTGGAAAAACAGACACTTCTCTGCCTTGACATACAGGTCGTGCTCCAACAGCCTCCGCAACACTCGGCGCACCAGAGCCACATGCTCGACTCGGGTAGACGAGTACACGAGAATGTCATCTATGTACACGACCACCCCCTGCCCCTGCATGTCCCTGAATATCTCATCCACGAATGATTGGAAAACTGAAGGAGCGTTCATCAACCCGTATGGCATGACAAGATACTCGTAATGGCCCGAGGTAGTACTAAAGGCTGTCTTCCATTCATCGCCCTCCCTAATGCGCACCAAGTTGTACTCCTGAGATCTAATTTAGTGAAGAAACGCGCCCCGTGCAATGACTCCGTCATGGTCGCAATCAGCGGAAGTGGATAACTGTACTTCACCGTGATCTGATTGAGACTACGGTAATCAATGCACGGGCGTAACCCTCCATCCTTTTTCTTCACAAAAAAGAAACTCGAGGACGCAGGGGAAGTGGATGGCCGTATGTATCCTTGTCTCAGAGATTCGTCTATGTAAGTCTCCATAGCTCTCTTCTCCTCCTGAGACAGAGGATACACATGGCTCCGTGGGAGCGCAGCTCCTGCCTGGAGGTCTATCGCACAATCTCCCTGCCTATGGGGAGGCAACTGCGTCGCCCTCGACTTACTGAACACAATAGCCAAATCCCCATACTCAGGGGGAACGTGCAATGCGGGCACCTGGTTTGGACTCTCCACCGAGGTAGCCCCTACGGAAATGCCTAAACATCGACCCACACACTGGTCAGACCACTCCATCAGAGCCCTCTCCTGCCACGAAATAGACGGGTTATGGATACTCAACCAGGGCATGCCCAGCACCACCGGATACGCAGGCGAGTCGATCAGAAATAGCTGGATCATCTCCTGATGACCCCCCTGCGCACACATCCTAAGTGGCGCCGTGACCTCCCTGATCAAGCCCGATCCCAACGGACGGCTATCTAGGGCATGAACGGGGAATGGGACGTCAACAGGAAGAAGGGGAATCCCTAAATCTAAACAAAATTTCCTATCAACAAAATTCCCAGCCGCGCCTGAATCTACCAGCGCCTTATGCTGGGAATGAGGTGCTACCTGTGGAAAACGCACAGGTATACAGAAGTGCGCAACAGAGAGCTCTGGGTGAGTGGGGCGCCTACTCACCTGGAAGGACTCCCCAGTGCGGGGCCTGTCGTCTTCTCCCCTAGGAGGCCGTCCCCAGCACCTAGCCGCGGTGTGTCCTCCACGGCCACAGTTGGTGCAGGAGACGGGCCCCCTCGTACTCCGACCCCTCCTCTCTCTAGCGCCAGCGCCCCCAAGCTCCATGGGGCTCGGCTCGGAGGCGCTGGAGGGTGAAATGGACGGACCTCCCTCGGGACGTCCGCGGGTAGCCAGCAGGGTGTCCAGCCTGATGGACATGTCGACTAACTGGTCGAAAGAGAGACTGGTGTCCCGACAGGCCAGCTCCCGACGGACGTCCTCACGTAGACTACAGCGGTAGTGATCGATGAGGGCCCGCTCATTCCACCCTGCATCCGCCGCTAGAGTACGGAATTCTAACGCGAACTCCTGGGCACTCCTCTTCCCCTGCCGGAGGCAGAACAGACGCTCCCCCGCCGCTTTCCCCTCCGGTGGATGGTCAAACACCGCCCTGAAGCGGCGGGAGAACTCAGCGTATGTGATGGTGGTAGTGTCTATCCTCCTCCACTCGGCGTTGGCCCATTCTAACGCCTTGCCGGAAAGGCAGGAGATGAGGGCGGACACGCTCTCGTGTCCCGAGGGCGCCGGGTGCACGGTGGCCAGGTAAAGCTCCACCTGGAGAAGGAAGCCCTGACACCCGGCAGCGGTCCCATCGTAGGCCCTCGGGAGCGAGAGTCGAATTCCCCTGGGTTCCGGAGCGGGAATGGGCTGACTGGCTGATGGTGATGGCAGGGAAGGTGGAGTTGGGGGTGTCCCTCGGGTCTCCCAGCGTTGGAGTGTGTTGATAACATCCTGCAGGGCGGTCCCGATCCGCAGGATCTGGTCATTCTGCTCCCGGACCCGATCCTCCAACGTCTCCTGTGCTGCTGCGGCTCCTGCTGATTCCATTCAGAATGTTGTGTGATTCTGTCAGTAGGTGCTGTAGGTGGGTGTGGTGCTGGAATCAGGCGCAGGACGCAGAAAATAAGTCCAAAAGACTTTAGTGAAGGCACAAACAAATACACGAGCCAAAAGCCCTGAGGCGAGAAACTCCGCACGCAGGCGTAAACAAAAGGGCGCACTAAACATGTGCGATAAATACTCTCCTTACAGAGGAGGAAAGCTACAAAGAGCAAACGGTATACTGTAGAGCACAAGCACGACAGCGAAACAATCACACACAACACCTGACAAACACAACGAGAACTTATAGGACACTAATGACGCTAAACGACAACAGGTGTACAATTCCAGACAAGACCAAACGAACATAGAAACATACAACGGTGGCAGCTAGTATTCCGGAGACGACGAACGCCGAAGCCTGCCCGAGCAAGGAAGAGAGGCAGCCTCGGCCGAAACCGTGACAACATGATGGCAGCTGGTCCTTTTGTGGCAGGGCTGAAATGCAGTGGAAATGTTTTTTGGGGATTAAGTTCATTTTCATGGCAAAGAGGGACTTTGCAATTAATTGCAATTCATCTGATCACTCTTCATGACATTCTGAAGTATATGCAAATTGCCATCATCAAAACTGAGGCAGCAGACTTTGTGAAAATTAGTATTTGTGTAATTCTCAAAACTTTTGACCATAGTCAAAGCTTTCCTTAATTTTGGGTCAGTCACCGTGGTCAGGTATTCTGCCACTGTGTACTCTGTTTATCGCCAAATAGCATTCCAGTTTGCTCTGTTTTTTGGTAAATTCTTTCCAATGTGTCAAGTAATTATCTTTTAGTTTTCTCATGATTTGGTTGGGTCTAATTGTGTTGCTGTCTTGGGGCTCTGTGGGGTCTGTTTGTGTTTGTGAACAGAGCCCCTGGACCAGCTTGCTTAGGGGACTTTTCGCTAGGAATAATCTCTCTGTAGGTGATGGCTTTGTTATGGAAGGTTTGGGAATCGCTTCCTTTTAGGTGGTTGTAGAATTTTACGTCTCTTTTCTGGATATTGATCATTAGCGGGTATCGGCCTAATTCTGCTCTGCATGCATTATTTATTTAACTTTGTACACGGAGGATGTTTTTGCAGAATTCTGCATGCAGAGTCTCAATTTGGTGTTTGTCCCATTTTATGATTTCTTGGTTGGACCCCAGACCTCACAAACATAAAGGGCAATTGGTTCTATAACTGATTCAAGTATTTTTTGCCAGATCCTAATTGGGATGTCGAATTTTATGTTCCTTTTGATGGCGTAGAAGGCCCTTCTTGCCTTGGCTCTCAGATCATTCACAGCTTTGTGGAAGTTACCTGTGGTGCTGATGTTTAGGCCAAGGTAGGTATAGTTTTTTGTGTGCTCTAGGGCAATGGTGTCTAGATGGAATTGGTATTTGTGGTCCTGGCAACTGGACTTTTTTTGGAACACCATTATTTTTGTCTTACTGAGATTTACTGTCAGGGCCCAGGTCTGACAGAATCTGTGTAGAAGTTCTAGGTGCTGCTGTAGGCCCTCCTTGGTTGGGGACAGAAGCACCAGATCATCATCAAACAGTAGACATTTGACTTCAGATTCTATAAGGGTGAGGCCGGGGACTGCAGACTGTTCTGTTCTGTGTCCCCGAGTGGCGCAGTGGTCTAAGGTACTGCATCGCAGTGCTAGCTGTGCCACTAGAGATCCTGGTTCGAATCCAGGCTCTGTCGTAGCCGGCCGCGACCGGGAGACCCATCGGGCGGCGCACAATTGTCCCAGCGTCGTCCAGGGTAGGGGAGGGAATGGCCGGCAGGGATGTAGCTCAGTTGGTAGAGCATGGCGTTTGCTACGCCAGGGTTGTGGGTTCGATTCCCACGGGGGGGCCAGTATGAAAAAAAAAAATATATATATATAAAATAATAATGTATGCACTCACTTAACTGTAAGTCGCTCTGGATAAGAGCGTCTGCTAAATGACTAAAATGTAAATGTAAAAATGTAGTGCCCTCGCCAATTTGTTGATATATATGTTGAAGAGGGTGGGGCTTAAACTGCATCCCTGTCTCACCCCACGGCCCTGTGGAAAGAAAGGTGTGTTTTCCTTTGCCAATTTTAGCTGCACACTTGTTGTTTGAGTACATGGATTTTATTATGTTGTAGGTTTTTCCCCCAACACCGCTTTCCATCAGTTTGTATAGCAGACCCTCATGCCAAATTGAGTCAAAAGCTTTTTTGAAATCAACAAAGAATGAGAAGACTTTGCCTTAGTTTTGGTTTGTTTGTTTACCAATTAGGGTGTGTAGTGTGAATACATGGTCTGTTGAAGGGTAATTTGGTAGAATTGCTCTCTCTCTCGCTCTCTCTCTCTCTCTCTCTCTCTCTCTCTCTCTCTCTCTCTCTCTCTCTCTCTCTCTCTCTCTCTCTCTCTCTCTCTCTCTCTCTCTCTCTCTCTCTCTCTGTGTTTTCTCTCTCCCTCCCTAGTTTAGCAGAGGGAGAACAGTTAAGATAGTAGTGCTCAGGCATGTTCCTTAGTAGCAGTAATGGAGCTTGGAGCTGTAGTGCAGAGGTTGAGGTCCCCTTCAGTTACACCATGATTGTTTGTAGGCCTATATAACCTCAAAAGAGATCCCAGGGTTGTTAAGTGACCGTAATCCTAATCTTATAGACCTCACTATTTACCAACACTTCCTCTCACTTAACTCTTGTTATGTTCTTATTTCCTCAGCGTTACATAGGATGTACTCACTCTACTTTAAACACTGTGTAAATTGCTGCCCAGCCCAGCTGAATGTCTTAAAACTCTCACACACACACCGTAATGCCGCAGAGACAACATGTTTGTTGACTTACCATGTAACGCTGCCGCACAATGAACACATTCATACTCTGACTGGGTTTTCAGTTAGCTTCTGTTTACTAGATGTACTAGCGGTATGTATTTTTAAGTGAATCGCTGGGAAAGTATAGGGAGAGGAAGAGGAAGAATATGTGACCGACCGGCTCGATTCGGTCTTATGTAGCAAAATGAAATTGTGTTTTTTACATTGGATAAAAGTAGAGACTCAGAGCTAGAAAATGGCATATCATACACTACAGTTGAGGAACAATGGGAAAGTAATTCTGCTTTGAAAGTTGATAAACTTGTAACTGCACTTTTGAGAAAATTGCCCTTGAATATTTTGGTACACCTACTGGAGAGCTCTTCTTTGTCCCATTCAGTATCATTCACACCCTCTTAAGCCTTAGACCCACCCATCTCTTTAAGGATCTGCAGATAGCTAACTAACTAGGTTCAATGTTAGCTAGCTAGCTAACATTATGCTATAACTAGCAATGCAAATGGCTCTGCGATACGAATAATATTACTACACAGGTCATACACGTAACGTTAGTGATCCAGCCAGCCAGCTAGCTAGCTAGCAGTATGGATTTAACTTGCAATGAAAACGACTTTCTGACAACATTTACATTTACATTTTAGTCATTTAGCAGACGCTCTTATCCAGAGCGACTTACAGTTAGTGAGTGTATACATTATTTTTTATTTATTTTATTTTTCATACTGGCCCCCCGTGGGAATCGAACCCACAACCCTGGCGTTGCAAACACCATGCTCTACCAACTGAGCTACATCCCTGCCGGCCATTCTCTCCCCTACCCTGGACGACGCTGGGCCAATTGTGCGCCACCCAATGGGTCTCCCGGTCGCGGCCGTCTACGACAGAGCCTGGATTAGAAATGTATAATATTTGAAAATGTAGCTAGCTAGACTCTCTTACTCGTATACATGGATGAACGCTTCTCCCTCTCTGTCACGGATGCCATGGTTGCCCTTAGTTTGAAGATGTAATCTGGCGACAGGTGTTTTATATAACAGCCTTCTGTGTTCTCTTTTCAACTCCATCCGCATATTTGTAATCAAACGCCAGAATTTTCTCCATCTCCTTAGCTCTCATACTCTGCTTCCACCGGGCATTCCACTGACTTCAAAGCTCGGTCCTCCCGAAAGTTCTTCGTGATATATTTCAAAAAAGCTGTGTTAGAAAGGATTACCTAGACATACTGACTAGCTCATGTCATGGACAGAAGCGTGCTACATGGCAGACCTATTCAAACTCATCTCTAGGCATGTCCAGCCGATCCATTATCTCAGCCAATCATGGCTAGCGGGAAGTTTCCTTTCTTTTTCCGTGGCTACACCATCTAGGCTCGTAATTTAACAATTTTATTCGTATTTACAGATGACATACAAGTTTGTTATAAGGCACATGAAAGTTCACATGTTCCAGAAGGCATTTCTCCCAAAAAAAGCATTTTGATAAAAAATCATGTTTACATTCAAATGCCTCTCCTGTGAAGTAGTGACACGTGACATAAGCCTAGTTTCTTGAAACAAGTCACATATAAGCGCTTGAGTGAGTTTGCAGTATGTGTGTTTGAGTTGGTGTATTCAGGAGTGATGTTGGTGCTGGAATAAAGCAGTCGAGCAACACTGATTATATTACATGTAGGGTTTTCTTTCTTCGCTATCTTTCTTTTGGGCCCAGCATCATATATAGGAGAGATTTGTGATGTGTCTATTATCGCGTACTGATTCTTGAGTTATCTGGAAAGCTGACTAACTGTTGAGTGCACCAGGTCCACTATGGCTAAAGAAAGTGGATCACATATCAGCCCGTCCATTCAGACAGAGCCTCCTTTGATAAGCCCCTGTTAGGCTGGGTGTTTGTGTTGTGTTGCTATAGTGAAATGACTTGGTGGAAGAGGACAAGTTGAAGGACGGTTTGTGTAAATGCATTGTGAAAATAGCATGTGTTGCTGGTGTAAGAGGTGACCTGTGTTGTGTTGCTATAGTAAAATTACTGCAATGACTGCGCCTACAATGACTTCTGTGTAAAGGCACAGGGAAAATAACATGTCTGGGCTTGTCTGGTCTGGTAGTGAGATGCTACATACATAACATTTTGCAGATAGATTGTGGGTTCTATCAAGGTAATTTTTGCATCATTTCCAATCCCCCATATATATTCTTACTAATCTGCTGGAGAACCAGTTTGTATTTAAGTATACATTTTGTCAGGGACGGCCTGTTCAATAGGGCGATATGGGCGACGCACTGCCAAACGGGAAAAGGAAGGGATTTTTTTTCTAATCAATTATATCACGGCAACAGTAGTTATCAGTGTTCACGTCTGATCTGCCAGCCACTAAATGTCAAATCAGGCTAAAGTCGTGCTTCAAATGGCCCCGCCCGTTTTTGGGGCGATTTCAGTCAAGTTGAAAATCGCCCAGAAGTCTCTCATAGCCTGTCATGTAAAATCTATTTTTTTCAAATTTCAAAGCTTTCAATACATTCTCTATGGGTGTCTGTGGGCTTGCACTTACGCGCTTTCGTCATACGTGACGTAACCATGAACGTAACTAAGACAATAGCGGCTAGCAGCGTCTCTGTTGCGACCTGCAGTGTGGCGTTATTTTATGTTTTTAATTTGTAGACTTAGTTTACAAACATTCTGCCAACCATGGATTTCCAGTGGTTGGTTTTGGACTGATCTTGTTGATCGTGTACATACCCGCTACGAACGGACTAAATAATGAAAACGCTGCTGGCAGCGGAATCCCAATACAGCTGGGAGACTTGGCTGGATGACAGAGTCCCGGACAGAGAAGTGGAGCCGGCCGGCTTCACCCTGGTCAGAGCGGACCGCGATCCTGGTAAGAGAGCGACTCTGTACCCCGACATTGAACTGCTTTCTGTGTCATTGCGACCTTACTATCTGCCCCGTGAGTTCCCCCAATTGTTTGTTACCGTTGTGTACTGTTGATAATCACAAGTTTACTGGAGAACTGAGACCAAGTAGAGACTTTGGACAGGGTGGATATGGTATAATAAAGGCAGTTTATTCAGAGGTAAAGATATCTGGAATCGCGTGCACGGACTCGTTCGTCAAACTCTTAGGGAGAAGAGAGCCCCGAAAACATTGTGTGCAGACATTTTATACAATAAATGATGTAGGTTGAATCTAGTAGTTCTGATCTTCTGATTGGTCCTGATGAGTTGGGCGAGGTCCCCTCCACTGTTGCATTGGCTCTGAGTCGGGTTCTCTGTCTTCAAATGTTCAGCCTAAAGAGAGGGGATTTTTGTGTGTGTGTGTGTGTGTGTGTTTAACAGTGATGATGTGTGTGTGTGTGTGTGTTATCAGTGATGATGTGTGTGTGTGTGTGTGTGTGTGTGTGTCCTCAGAGCAAGAACTCGTGAGTTGGAAGAACTGAGAGACCTATGGCGTGGGTGTTGTCCTTGGCCACCTGCTGACAAGGCTGACAAGATAGGACTCTTTTGTCCATTGTTATAGGATAGGAACAGCATTGATTGAAAACAAACGCCCAACACAAAATGGGTCATGCACAAGATTTTAGTCAGACCAAGCTATAACATTATATATTTACTACGACAGTACATTCAACCAAAAGCTAATATAACAAAGGCATCAGAGATTATTTATAATCTGTCACAGAAACTGGAATCCATCTCCCCAGATCAGTCAATAAATGCTTCTGGTATTGACTTATATGCTGCCCCTGTCTTCATGTTGTTGCTGGACATATCTTTTTTAAAATGTGTGTAGGTCACCTAAATCATCAGAAAAATTGCCCCTCCTGAGAATTTTTTCAGGAGCCGCCACTGCATTTTGTATAACTAAAGTATTTAGTGAGAGGTTCAATTCTTTAACATTTAATAATTGTAGCCCTCCAAATTCATATTAATTATATAAATAGGCCCGTTTAATTTTGTCTTACTTGCCGTTCAAAATAAAGTCAACATGTTTGCTCATATAATTTTAAAAACAAGTCATCCGGTGTAGGCAGGCCATCAGTAAATAGGTAAGCTGGGATATGACTAAAGAATGAATCAGGGTGATTTTTACACAAATGGACAAGGGTTTACCTTTCCATGGTAGCAAGATCTTATCTATTTTTGCTAACAGAGTATGTCCACTTCACCATCAGACAATTTTATTTGTAAACTACACGGTAATGTAAAAGTTGTGTTTTTTATTGATCCAATACGTAATATGGTACATTTATCATAGTTCGGTTTGTAATCCAAAGAGGTTAGAGAAATGATCTAGATCCTCTGAGGCTGTGCAGGGATCCATATTGTGCATTTAAAAGAAAACATGAGTCATCAGCATACAATGACACTTGAAACCCTACCTCTTTAAGGAATACCTGGAATAGTATAACAGTAATCCTTCTCCCCCCCCTCCCCCACCCCACCATAAAAATAAATAAAAAAGGAGTGGTTGTCCCACTGGCTATAAGGTGAATGCACCAATTTGTAAGTCGCTCTGGATAAGAGCGTCTGCTAAATGACTTAAATGTAAATGTAATGACCTTTGTTTAAGGCCCTGGATTTCTAGCCCCTTGATATTACTGTTCTATCTGGTTTTAATAGCTAACATTTCGATGGCAATAATAAATAGATATGCCGATATTGGACAACCTTGTTTTACCCTCTTGACAGTTTAATACTTTCTGAGTAGCCATTATTGACTATTTTACACCTGGGGTTAGGTATTGGACAACCTTGTTTTACCCTCTTGACAGTTTAATACTTTCTGAGTAGCCATTATTGACTATTTTACACCTGGGGTTAGGATTGACTATTTTAAGCAACTGTTCATCTGATTTGCCATTAACTGTACTGTGCTTCTATCTGACATACGAAAGGCCCCCACATGTCTGAGAATTCAAAAGAGTCTTTTGGCAATTGGAACTTCCCTCTGTGGGCTAATATGGATGCAAAATGATAAAGACAAACATTTGGGTCAAAGATATACCTAGAGCTACACAGGACAGGGTCAAAGATATACCTAGAGCTACACAGGACAGGGTCAAAGATATACCTAGAGCTACACAGGAAAGGGTCAAAGATATACCTAGAGCTACACAGGACAGGAGTTCTAGCCCTTTAGTCATTATTGGTCAGAGCACAGGGGATTCTCAAACCAGATAAGGAAGCCAATACATAGTCATATCTTCTGTTAGATGCACAGCTTAGCACAGTCTGTGGGTCTTTCAAAGGTTTGAACAGCACCATGCAAATGAAATATATCATAAATGGCCTTTTATGATGCGTTTGCATACTCTTCCTTTAGCTATTAGATCAATGACTAGCCTACCAGCTAGTCTCCTTTTAGATGTACCTAGGGACTGCACAGCAGCTCCAGCTATACATGTTAATCTGATTCATTCATTACTGGAGCTGCCTGCCCTGAGCTATGGCGACCCCTGGGGGATATATGGGGTTATGTCAAAAACGTGAGACAAAAGAAGTTAATCTGTTAACATGTTACTATTCCTTTCTCTCTCTTTCCAAGTGTTTATTTTCTTTCTCTTTGTCTCTCTGTCTTTCTCACTCTCCCTCTCTTCTCTTCTTCTCCCTCTCTCCACTTCCTTTCCTCCCCCTCCTCTTCCTCCTTCCTTTCCTCCTCCTCTGTTCTCCTCAGCAGATAGCCAAGCTCCGGCAGCAGCTGCGTGGCAGTAGTAAGCAGCAGCAGGGAGGTCGTCAGTCTCAGTGTCAAAGAGACAAAGACAGCCTGTCTCCTTTACAGGGACCTATCAACACCACCATCAACATCACGGCCAACCAAGCACAGGTAAGGCACACTACTGCCATCCAGACCTGAGTTCATATATATATATATATATAATATATATATATATATGTGTTATATTATATTATAATATATACATACAGTTGAAGTCGGAAGTGTACATACACCTTAGCCAAATACATTTAAACTCAGTTTTTCACAATTCCTGACATTTAATCCTAGTAAAAATTCCCTGTTTTAGGTCAGTTAGGATTACCACTTTATTTTAAGAGTGTGAAATGTCTGAATAATAGTAGAGAGAATGATTTATTTAAGCTTTTATTTCTTTCATTACATTCCCAGTGGGTCAGAAGTTTACGTACACTCAATTAGTATTTGGTAGCATTGCCTTTAAAATTCTTTAACTTGGGTCAAACGTTTTGGGTAGCCTTCCACAAGCTTCCCACAATAAGTTGTGTGAATTTTGGCCCATTCCTCCTGACAGAGCTGGTGTAACTGAGTCAGGTTTGTAGGCCTCCTTGCTCGCACACACTTTTTCAGTTCTGCCCACAAATGTTCTATAGGATTGAGGTCAGGGCTTTGTGATGGCCACTCCAATACCTTGACTTTTTTGTCCTTAAGCCATTTTGCCACAACTTTGGAAGTATGCTTGGGGTCATTGTCCATTTGGAAGACCCATTTGCGACCAAGCTTTAACTTCCTGACTGATGTCTTGAGATGTTGCTTCAATATATCCACATAATTTTCCTTCCTCATGATGCCATCTATTTTGTGAAGTGCACCAGTCCCTCCTGCAGCAAAGCACCCCCACAGCATGATGCTGCCACCTCCGTGCTTCACCGTTAGGATGGTGTTCTTCGGCTTGCAAGGAACCCCCTTTTTCTTTCAAACACAACAATGGTCATTATGGCCAAACAGTTCTATTTTTGTTTCATCAGACCAGAGGACATTTCTCCAAAAAGTACGATCTTTGTCCCCATGTGCAGTTGCAAACCGTAGTCTTGCCATTTTTATGGCGGTTTTGGAGCAGTGGCTTCTTCCTTGCTGAGCAGCCTTTCAGGTTATGTCGATATAGGACTCGTTTTACTGTGGATATAGATACTTTTGTACCTGTTTCCTCCAGCATCTTCACAAGGTCCTTTGCTGTTGTTCTGGGATTTATTTGCACTTTTCGCACCAAAGTACGTTCATCTCTAGGAGACAGAACGTGTCTCCTTCCTGAGCGGTATGACGGCTGCGTGGTCCCATGGTGTTTATACTTGCGTACTATTGTTTGTACAGATGAACGTGGTACCTTCAGGCATTTGGAAATTGCTCCCAAGGATGAACCAGACTTGTGGAGGTCTACAATTCATTTTCTGAGGTCTTAGCTGATTTATTTTGATTTTCCCATGATGTCAAGCAAAGAGGCACTGAGTTTGAAGGTAGGCCTTGAAATACATCCACTGGGTACACCTCCAATTGACTCAAATGATGTCAATAAGCCTATCAGAAGCTTCTAAAGCCATGACATCATTTTCTGGAATTTTCCAAGCTGTTTAAAGGCACAGTCAACTTAGTGTATGTAAATTTCTGACCCACTGAAATTGTGATACAGTGAATTATAAGTGAAATAATCTGTCTGTAAACAATTGTTGGAAAAATTACTTGTCATGCACAAAGTAGATGTCCTAACCGACTTGCCAAAACTATACCTTGTTAACAAGACATTTGTGAAGTGCTTGAAAAACAAGTTTTAATGACTCCAATCTAAGTGTATGTAAACTTCCAACTTCAACTGTATATTATATATATATATATATATATAATCTGTCAAATACTTTAGCGGTATGCGTGATTTAGCTTGCTGGGCGGAATGGAATCAATGCAATCGGACCAAAAGTGCAAACCCAATACGCCAGGGAAGCTTAATCACAAAAACTCTGCCCTGCTTAAAATATGTGTAATGTTGAGATGTTGTTTTTGAATGTCTCGGCGGTTGTGTCCCTGGGCCCTACAGTGGTCCTGCATGTCTACGTCGTCCCAGATGTCCAACATGACGGTGTCCAAGCCCTCCATCACCAGAGTGCCCAGCAGCATGGAGGGAATCAACCACGAGCTGGAGAAGGTCTTCATCAGAGACAACAACGGAGAGAAGGAGGAGCTCAAGGTTGGGGGACGGACTGTTAGATTCATGCAATCACATATTTACAATATACACTCTCACACAATACTAGCGGTGGCCACTCGCAGTCAAGCATGACATCAGTCATGGGCTGGATGTGTCAATGTGTAGTTCATACATGTATACTTTATAAGCAGAATTACTGTCTTAACTCAATTAGCCAAAAAATCCCTAGTTTGAAAGTGACTGTTTTCTCTACATTTAGAGCTTGCAAGAAAGGCATTTCACTGTACTTGTGCACGTGACATTAAAACTTGAAACTTTAAAATCGTGTGTCTGGAGGGGACTAAGAAGACACGCACACAACCACTCATGCACCTGCTGTGTCACTGTAAATGCTATTACTTGTAGTACTCAATGACGAAACATCTCTCTCACTTGCTCTCTCTCTTTTTTTTCTTCACTCCCTGTCCTCCCCCGCCCTCCCCCAGGTGTTGGAGGTACCAGACGGGCGGCGAGCCCCCTTCCCCCCCCAGCAGCGTAGCAGCAGTACCCGTAGCGTGGACACACAGACCCCGTCTGCCCCCGGCCGCTCCAGCAGTAGTTCCAGCCTGTCCCCCTGTCCCTCTCCCGCCTGCCCCCCGGGGTCCGGCTCACACGGGGGGAGCCCTTACTCCACCGACGATCTGCTCTACGACAGGGATAAAGGTAGGATTGTCAGGATGCTCTCTCAGACCAGGGGCAAGGCCTCTATTTTCCATTGGACATCCTGTCGTTGTGCCTTTGAGCAAGGCTCTGAACTCCTAACGTGGAATGTGTTTGTGTCTTGTCCGGGGGGTTGGCAGTAGGGCAAAAGGCAAATGTAATCTTATTTTCTGACTGTTTCTGACCATTGTCTCTGTCTCTCTGTCTACAGACAGTGGCAGTAGCTCTCCGCTGCCTAAGTTTGCCTCGTCTCCTAAGCCCAACAACAGCTACATGTTCAAGAGAGAACCACCAGAGGGCTGTGAGAAAATCAAGGTGTTTGAGGAAATGAGGTAAGTACAGAAAGAGACCAGAGAGCTTTTAGGATCTTTTTTATTGCACTAAATTTTCCAAGTTGTTGATACTGAACGTCAGTTACGCATACATGTCATGAAAAGAGTTAACACACCGTCTCTTACTTTTACATTTGTCTGTCCAGCTCCAGGCAGTCAGCGTCCGTCCCTCTCTTCTCCTGCCCCGACAAGAACAAGGTCAATTTCATCCCCACCGGCTCCGCCTTCTGCCCTGTCAGACTGACCCCCGGCACCCTGCACCTCTCTGTGACCTCTCACCCCGACGACGACCCCGAGGCCGGCCCCAGCTCAATGACATCAGCATTCTGCCGCGTCCTCCCCACTCAGGTCCACACCTCCACCAGCACAGACGACGCTCCCACCCCCGAGGAGGCTGCCACTGCAACGCCCACATCGCCCCAGCAGGGGGAGCCACAAGAGACTGCCCCCCAGACAGACTGCCTGGCCATCAGCTAGACCTGGGCAGAGCTGGCCTCTGACACATGGTTCTGGTTCTTATTATTATTATGAATAAAATGATTATTACTCCCCCACTATCATCATCATCACTGAAGTCCGGTCTCCTTTGCTAAAGGACCTCCCCTCCCCTCCTCTTCTCTCTGTCTCTGCTGAACCCTACACACTCTGCATGGCGTAGCATTAGCAACAATGTCCCCGACAACAACAACACAATGGTGCAAACAAAGACAAGTCTCCCATATGTTCCTAGCGTATTCCTAAAGCACTGTTCCTGTCAGGGATAGACATAATGATCTTTAACAGCATGTAAAAAGAAGAGATGCTGGACGCTGTCATTGGGTGGATGGGAAGAAAATTAGACTCTTTGGATGGGGGGCATGCATTTTAAACCAGTAGTGTGTTTAAGATTAAAGACATGCTCTGGTACTTTGGCGACTAAGAAAGTTTTTTTTAAACCTCCTGCTTTGGGCTGGATGTGTCAATGTGTATTTCATACATGCATAATCTATGAGCAGAATTACTATCTAACCTCAATTAGCCACGAAATCCCTAGTTTGAAAGCGACTGTTTTCTTGAAGTTGTGCAGCACCATTTTCTCTTATTCACCCCACGTGGGCCAACCCCATAGCAATTACAGTTCTAGCCAATGAGCTTCAGCCCCTCACATTTGAGTGACAGCTAGCAAGAGGCCTGCCCAGCGTTATCCAATGAGGTTGCAGAGCGGGCGCAACTGCTGAGTGAGTGAGTGACACACACTGAGGGAGAGAGAGAGAGACCACACACTTTGAGAGAGAGAGACACACAGGAGAGAGACCCAGAGAGAGGAAACACACGAGAGACAAATACAATGACACTTAAAAACCCCTACCTTTTTAAAGGAATCCCGGGAATATAAAAACTAATCCTTTCCCCCCCCCCCCCCCCACCCACCAAAAAAAATAAATAAAAAAGGAGTTTTTTCCACTGCTAAAAGGGTGAAGCCCCAATTTTAAGTCCTCTGGAAAAGAGCGTCTGCAAAATATTAAAGTAAGAAAGACCTTTTTTTAAACCCCGGTTTTTGCCCCTTGAATTACGTTCACTGTTTTAATAGCAAAATTTCGAGGGGCAAAAATAAATAGAATCCCCGATTTGGAAAAACCTTTGTTTTACCCTCTTGACATTTTAATATTTCTGAGAGCCATTTTTGACTATTTTAAACCGGGGGTTGGGTTGGAAAACCTTTTTCCCCTCTTGACTTTTATACTTTCTGAGTACCATTTTGACATTTTACCCCTGGGGGGTTGGATTGATTTTTTAAGAAAACTGTTCATCGTTTTGCCTTTAACTGTACTTGCTTCTATCTGACTACAAAGGGCCCCCACATGTTGAAACAAAAGAGTTTTTTTGGCAATTGGAATTTCCCCTGGGGGAATATGGAGCAAAATGTAAAGACAACATTTGGTCAAATTTTCCCCAGAGCACAGGGGCGGTCAAGTATACCTAGGCTACACGGACAGGGGTAAAAGAAAACCTAGGTACACGGGAAAAGGGGTAAAAGATATCCTAGGCTACACGGACGGGTTCTAGCCTTTAGTCTTTTTTGGCAGAGCACAGGGGATTCTCAAACCAAAAAGAAGCCAATACTAGTAATCTTCGTTAATGCCAGCTTAGCAAGTCGGGGGGTCTTTCAAAGGTTTTGAACAGCACCATGAAATGAAATATATCAAAATGGCCTTTTATGATGCGTTTGCACTCTTCCTTTAGCATTAGATCAATGTACCACCAGCTAGTCCCTTTTAGGTCCTAGGGATACAAGCGCTCCACATACTGTACTGATTCATTAAATTCGGGCGCCTCCCCTAGCTATGGCGCCCCCCTGGGGATATAGGGGTTATGTCAAAAACTGGACAAAAAAAGTTAACTTTTTCTTTTACTTTTTCCTTTCTCTCCTTTTCCAAGGTTTATTTTTTTCTTTTTTGTCTCTCGTCTTTCTCATCCCCTTCTCTCTCTTTTTTCCCCCTCTTCACCCCTTTCCCTTTTCCCCCTCCTCTTCCCCCTTCCTTTTCCTCCCCCCTCTTTTCTCCTCCAATACCAAACTCCGGCAAGCAGCTGCGTGGGTAGTAAGCAGCACGGAGTCGTCGTCTCATGTAAAAGAGAAAAAGCCCTGTCTCCTTTCGGGGGACCTATCAACCCCCATCAACATCACGGAAACCCCAAAGAAAGGGAAAGGGCACACTACTGCCACCAACCTGAGTTCATAAAAATAAAAATAATATTAATTTTATATAAATATTTTTTTTTTATTATATTATAAATATTACATACATTTTAGTCGGAATTACAACCCTTACCCAAATACTTTAAACCCTTTTTTTCCCAAAATTTCCTGACTTTTAAAATCCTAGAAAAATTCCCCTTTTTTTGGGTCAGTTAGATTACCCTTTATTTTAAAGTGTAAATGTCTAAATAATAGTGGGAAATGTTTATTTAAAGTTTATTCTTTCATTCTTTCCCCAGTGGGTCAGAGTTTTAGTCATCAAAGTATTGGTAGTTTTCCCCTTTAAATTTTTTTAAAACTTGGGTAAAAAGTTTTGGGTAGCCTTCCACAGCTTCCCAAAATAAGTTTGTTAAATTTTTGGGCCCCTTTTCCCCCTGACAAGTGGTTTTGTAACGATCGGGTTTTGTGGGGCCCCTTCCCCCAACATTTTTTTTCAGTTCGCCCACAATGTTTATAGGATTGAGGTCAGGGCTTTGTGATGGCCCTCCAATCCCTTTGACTTTTTTGCCCAAACCCATTTTGGGGAAAAATTTGGAAGACTTTGGGATTGTCCATTTGGAAGCCCATTTCACAATTTTCTTCCAAATGAATGTCTTGGTTTTGGCCAAAATCCCCTTTTTTCCCCCATGATGCCCCTTTTGTGAAGGCCCAGTTCCCCCGAGCAAAGAAAGAATGATGCCCCCCCCTCTTCACCTTAGGATGGTGTTTTTCGGCTTGCAAGAACCCCCTTTTTCTTTCAAACAACAATGGCATTAGGGCCCAAAACAGTTTATTTTTGTTTCATAAACCCAAGGACATTTCTCCAAAAAAGTCGATTTTTGCCCCTTTTGGGGCCGTTGCAAACCGTTCGGTTTTTTATGGGTTTTTTTGGAAAGCTGGCTTTTTCCTTTGCTGACCCGCCTTTTCAGTTTATGTCATATGGACTCGTTTTACTGTGGATATAGATACTTTTTCCCTTTTCCTCCAGCCTTCCAAAAGGGCCTTTTGGGGTTTGTTGTTCGGGGGATTTTTTTTCATTTTTCGCACCAAAGTACGTTTAAACTTGGGAGACAGAACGTCCCTTCCTAGCGTTTAAGGGTGCGTGGTTTCCCAGGGGTGTTTATATTTTGCGACTATTGTTTGACGATGACGTGGTCCCTTCAGGCTTTGGGGAAATGCTCCAAGGGGATGAACCAACTTTTGGAGGTTACAATTTTTCTGAGGTCTTACTATTTTTTTTATTTTCCATATGAAAGAAAAGGCACGGGTTTAAGGTAGGCCAAAAATACATCCCTGGTACACCTCCAATTGACTCAAATGATGTAAATAAGCCTATCAGAAGCTTTTAAAAGCCCCGACCATTTTCTGGAATTTTCCCAAATGTTTAAAAAACAATCAACTTAGGTATGTAATTTTCCCCCCCGAAATTGTGATAAAAAGTGAATTATAAGTGAAAAAAATCTGTCTGTAAACAAATTGTTTTGGGAAAAAATTTCTTGTCTGCCAAAGTGTGTCCTAAAAACCCACTTTCCAAAAAAAACCTTGTTTCAAGACTTTTTGAAGGCTTTAAAAACAAGTTTTAAGACTCCAAAACAAGTTATGTAAATTTCCAAATTCAAGGTATATTTAAAATATAATTTATATATATCTGTCAAAAAACTTTAGCGGTATCGGATTTACTTGCGGGGGGAATGGATCAAGCAATCGGGCCAAAATGCAACCCAATACGCCAGGGAAGCTTTAAACAAAAAAAACTCGCCCTGCTTAAAAAAGTGTAAAGTTTGAGGTTTGTTTTTAAGTCTCGGGGGTTGTGTCCCTGGGCCCTACAGTGGTCCTGCATGTCTACGTCGTCCCAGATGTCAAAATGACGGGTCCAAGCCCCCTAAACCCGAGTGCCCCCCAGCATGGAGGGAAATCAACCCCGGCTGGAGAAGGTCCTTTTCAAGACACAAAGGGGAGAAGGGGGAGCTCAAGTTGGGGACGGGCTGTTTGATTTATCAATCACTATTTACAATTACACTCCACACAATACTAGCGGGGCCACTCGCAGTCACTGAATCAGTCTGGGGTGGGTGTGTCAATTGATTCATTTCAGTATACTTATAACAGAATACTGTCAAACCCAAATTTGCCAAAAAAACCCCAGTTTGAAAGGATGTTTTTTTCCCTTTAGATTTCAAGAAAGGCTTTCACTGTACTTGTGAGTGACATTAAAAATTTAAATTTAAAATGTTGTCTGGAGGGGACAAGAAGACACGCACACAACCATCATGCACCTGCTGGTTTACGTAATGCTTTATTGTATATCTCAAAGAACATTCCTCACTTTCTCTTCTCTTTTTTTTTTTTCCCCCTGTCCTCCCCCGCCCCTCCCCCAGGTTGGAGGGACCAGAAGGGGGCGAGCCCCCTTCCCCCCCCAGCAGCGTAGCAGCAGTACCCGTAGCGTGGACACACAGACCCCGTCTGCCCCCGGCCCGCTCCAGCAGTAGTTTCCAGCCGTCCCCCTGTCCCTCTCCCGCCTGCCCCCCGGGGTCCGGCTCACACGGGGGGAGCCCTTACTCCACCGACGATCTGCTCTACGACAGGGATAAAGGTAGGATTGTCAGGATGCTCTCTCAGACCAGGGGCAAGGCCTCTATTTTCCATTGGACATCCTGTCGTTGTGCCTTTGAGCAAGGCTCTGAACTCCTAACGTGGAATGTGTTTGTGTCTTGTCCGGGGGGTTGGCAGTAGGGCAAAAGGCAAATGTAATCTTATTTTGACTGTTTGACTTGTCTCTGTCTCTCTGTCTACAGACAGTGGCAGTAGCTCTCCGCTGCCCTAAGTTTGCCTCGTCTCCTAAACCCAACAACAGCTACATGTTCAAGAGAGAACCACCAGAGGGCTGTGAGAAAATCAAGGTGTTTGAGGAAATGAGGTAAGTACAGAAAGAGACCAGAGAGCTTTTAGGATCTTTTTTATTGCACTAAATTTTCCAAGTTGTTGATACTGAACGTCAGTTACGCATACATGTCATGAAAAGAGTTAACACACCGTCTCTTACTTTTACATTTGTCTGTCCAGCTCCAGGCAGTCAGCGTCCGTCCCTCTCTTCTCCTGCCCCGACAAGAACAAGGTCAATTTCATCCCCACCGGCTCCGCCTTCTGCCCTGTCAGACTGACCCCCGGCACCCTGCACCTCTCTGTGACCTCTCACCCCGACGACGACCCCGAGGCCGGCCCCCAGCTCAATGACATCAGCATTCTGCCGCGTCCTCCCCACTCAGGTCCACACCTCCACCAGCACAGACGACGCTCCCACCCCCGAGGAGGCTGCCACTGCAACGCCCACATCGCCCCAGCAGGGGGAGCCACAAGAGACTGCCCCCCAGACAGACTGCCTGGCCATCAGCTAGACCTGGGCAGAGCTGGCCTCTGACACATGGTTCTGGTTCTTATTATTATTATGAATAAAATGATTATTACTCCCCCACTATCATCATCATCATGAAGTCCGGTCTCCTTTGCTAAAGGACCTCCCCTCCCCTCCTCTTCTCTCTGTCTCTGCTGAACCCTACACACTCTGCATGGCGTAGCATTAGCAACAATGTCCCCGACAACAACAACACAATGGTGCAAACAAAGACAAGTCTCCCATATGTTCCTAGCGTATTCCTAAAGCACTGTTCCTGTCAGGGATAGACATAATGATCTTTAACAGCATGTAAAAAGAAGAGATGCTGGACGCTTGTCATTGGGTGGATGGGAAGAAAATTAGACTCTTTGGATGGGGGGCATGCATTTTAAACCAGTAGTGTGTTTAAGATTAAAGACATGCTCCGGTACTTTGGCGACTAAGAAAGTGTTTTTTAAACCTCCTGCTTTGGGCTGGATGTGTCAATGTGTATTTCATACATGCATAATCTATGAGCAGAATTACTATCTAACCTCAATTAGCCACGAAATCCCTAGTTTGAAAGCGACTGTTTTCTTGAAGTTGTGCAGCACCATTTTCTCTTCATTCACCCCACGTGGGCCAACCCCATAGCAATTACAGTTCTAGCCAATGAGCTGAGCCCCTCACATTTGAGTGACAGCTAGCAAGAGGCCTGCCCAGCGTTATCCAATGAGGTTGCAGAGCGGGCGCAACTGCTGAGTGAGTGAGTGACACACACGAGGGAGAGAGAGAGAGACACACACTTTGAGAGAGAGAGACACACAGAGAGAGAGACTCACACAGAGAGAGAGAGAGAGAGACACACAGAGAGAGAGCGAGACACAGAGAGAGAGAGGGTTTTCGGGGACCAATTTTGGCTTGTGACTGCTACTTTCAGAACTACTGGCTTTAAAGTATACAAAAGTACCGGAGAATCTCTTTAATTTATGTGTTATTGTGTTCTGTTTTGACTTTCTCCACAGTATGAAAAAGCTCTATACACCATATTACACACATTATATATCTTATGAAAAGAAAAAAACAACGCTTGTTTAAATTGAAAACTATCTATTGCTGTGTTATGTTATGTACAGTATCATAGAAAAAACTAAACATATTCAGGATTTATGTTTACACAATCCAGGTTATGTTCCTAAACCTCCTTTGAAACATGCAATGCAAAACCAGAAAATAATAATCAAAAAAGTGGGGAAAAATGACATAACTTAAAGAACAGTGTCCATTGCATCTGGCCTTTCTTCAGGTATATATCACAAACAGAGTCTAAACTCAGGTAATTTGGAATGTATGCCCATATTCCATGACACAGATTGACTCAGTTCTGACTGCATTTCCTCGTTGAAACAGAAGAGATCACTCTATTTCCTTTGCTTTCTCTCATTCCAGATTCCATTCCAGAAATTCAGAACCTTTTATTCCCCCTAGACATTCCATGGTGTTATGATGTGCTGTCCCAAGACTTGACCTGTGCTTGGCTGACAGCAGAGGATAAAGGTTTACTGTGTGGTTAGGTGTCTTGGTTGCCTTTATGAGTGACTAGTAACCAACCAGGCCCACTGTGAGAGATAACGGCTGTGCTTGTTGAGACGAGTTCTAACATGCTTGAGAGAAGTCTATAATGGCTATGACTGTCAACGCCTGACAATTCTGTGTGGTCGTCGGACCCTCTGCAGCCGTTGTGCTGTGGTCAAGGTCAGGTAGCAACTTCAGTGTTCAACTTCAGGTCAGTCTTGGTTGACTGGCCCTAGTCAAGTCCTGGCCTGCAGTAACATCACATAAAAGAAGACCATAAAACGGTTGTGTGAGAGTGTATATTGGTTACATTCAGGTGATATCCAATCTGAGACTGTTTAAATATTCAATAGACAACATAATTATGCTTTACTATTGATTCATAAGACATTCCATGAGATTCTAGCTAGTTGGGGGTCGAGAAGGCTCATCAAGTCATGTCCAAACGTTCATCTTTATGCCCTCAGGTGCACTGGGTTTGAGGTTTGATTAGAGAGGAGCTAGTTGGTTTATTCAATCTGCAGAATTGGTAGATGTTTCATTTTGGATTAAAAGAAAATGGATAAACTGTCCTGATCCTTATCCAATTCATGTCTTTCTGAAGTTTAATGCTTTATCATGTCATGAGTAATTATTGGCATCATCGTCATCAATGGAAGCAATTCTCTATGAGCCTCCCAAATTTTGATTCTGCGCACAATAATTCCCTCTGCAGATTTGTCTGTAACATCATTCTTGCAACGAACACAACATAACATGCCCACCTGTACATTATTCCTTTATAAAGACATTCAAGTCAAAAGATAAAACGTAATCAGAAACATTATTTTGATATGCTTATGTGCTTGTGGAATTCCTGTCTGCATTGATACTCTTGTTCATCTTGTTAGATATACTATATGACTTTAAAAAAGATCAATGCAATGTTTGTTGTTTTTAATAATTCAGCACCTTATGATCAAGATGACTAACATACATTAACTATGTGGCATTGGTTAACTATGATGTGTGCAATAATAGACAAGATGTTGGTGTCCGTTGGGTCAGATATGTTTCGCTTCTTCTTCACCACTCTATTTTCTTCACTCTCGTTCCTTTGGTTTGGAGTATAGAGCCAAATCAGCACTTAAGCCAGATTCACACTATAGGGCTGACCCATACTGTACTGTGCTGGCTAGGATATTTTATTTTCCAGCATGGTTCCAGCAACTATGATGGATGTGTAACCAGGCTAGCTCGGCTTTGCTCGGCCCAGTTTGTCTCAGTAGTGTGAAAAGCCTAACAGTGTGTTGAGAAAGGCATTAATCGACACGAACCAGCGCTGGAATCATGTCACCAGAGCACATAGATTTTGGCTAGCAGGTCATCAGTGTTCATCAGCTCTTCCAATCAGCTCGCTCCTCATTGGACCTGTGGGGTCAAAGGTCATACACAAACACAATAAAATGATTGGTTGTTGATGTGACTGAACACTTTGTGTGCTGTTGTGACCATCATTGATTGTGTGCAAGTTATAGAAGGAGGAGAGTGTGTAAGGCACAGGAGGCTGCTGAGGGGAGAATGGCTCATAATAATGGTCGGAACGGAGCAAATGGAATGGCATCAAACACCTGGAAACCATATGTTTGATGTCTTTGATACCATTCCACCCATACCGCTCCAGCCATTACCACGAGCTTGTTCTCCCCAATTAAGGTACCACCAACCTCCTGTGGTGTAAGGGACCATGACTGTTTTTGACCTGACATTGAAGAGGAAACAAGACTAAAGAAACAGTCAGAAACACATTTTAGAACAACAATACCCCAGCGGTAGAAAGATGAATACAAAAATGTTCCTGTGTACAACAACCAACCACACTAACAGAACTTTGAATGTGATCCTCTACTCTCTCACCTCTGTATTAGTAGAGACCACTGTTGTAAGATTAATCCATAGGTAACATCTAGAAAAAAGCATTTATAGCATTTGGGTTTCCTCTGTTTTGCTCACGATTCTCTTGGTGTGTGCTCAAAGATGTTATTGGAGAGTGTTGTTAGGCGATGAGTGTGCTTACCAAGTCTACATTACCTTTAGCTACTGATGCCATGCCACACCTATTGTTTTTTGTGTAATGGACAGCCGTGTGTGGCTTATGATTCTTTTGTATTTTTATCAACATAGAGATCTCGTGTCTTATTTAAATAAAGTTATTAGCAGAACCAAAGCACATCCTTTGCAGCTGTGTGTGAATGACAAATGACAGATGCATACACACTTTTTTTCTGAGGTCCACTTATACCGTTTATTTCAAACATTTTACAAGTATATATCATATACATACCTTTTGTAAAAGCATACACTATCAGACACCTTTATTTATTTTCACAACCAGGTAGATTAAGACTTTATGTACAGTATATTGTCTAGCCATCTTTGAGGGGTCACTATGAAAAAGCGGTGTCAGTAGAGCGCTCTCTAGTGATAGAAAGGGGAACTATAGAATAGATTGTACTTGATCTCAAACACATTACTCTCAATAAACCATTACAGTACTGTACACCATACCTGGCACCTGCATTCCAATAAATACCTTTCTGATGTGTCTGGAAATTAAACAACTCTAATCATTTTAATTCTTTCAATTAATAAAACGTTTAAGCCTGTAAAGTGACATTTCCCCCCCAAGTGCTCGCCTTGAACTGTGGTAATTAATATTTTCCACCTTGAATGACATTTTAACGAGACACGTGTGAAGCCGCCGCCGGCTTCACACGTGACCCTAGAAGTTGGTGTTTTTGTGTGCATTTGTGCGTGTGTGTGTGTGGTAGGCCTCTATATCATAAACTACAACGAGAATCAAAATTCCGGCAACGATGGCATGAGCGCCGCCTGCTTTCTCGACAGAGCGCGGCCTTCCTTAGCCTACCCTAAGCTCTGCTATGTAAGACTCAGACATAAAACTGCCTGACATATGTAAATCTTCAACATTCAGCCTTTCTCTCTGTCTGTCAGAGCTTTAGATACACCCTTCTCTACGATGGCAGGAAAGTGAGAATTTACTTCAAACAATCTCCTGTATGCTTCAGGGTAGATTCTGGAATCTCAATAAAGACATACTGCATCAATGATGCAACATCTTCCTTACTGAGGATGATTGATTGATTAATTGATTGATAGAGGGTGAGGAAGAGGGCGCATGTGAATGGCTAAAGGGTTGAGTAAAAAAAGGGTGGGGGGGAACAAATATCAGTAGAGGTGATCTACACCTTTTGAGAGGTAGTAGGTCAAAGGCGGTGAATGTATCTCATGTATCTGACATAGACCATAAAAAAAGAAGAAAAAGTCACCCGCCTTATATTTGCCAAGAGTCTCTACGGTGAAAAGTGCAACCTTGACAAGATAAATGTTGCCCTACAGCCATTAGTTAGTAGGTGACCATGGCTCAGCTGTCATAACGAGGGGAAAGGAGGGAAGGTTACTGTTTCTCT